ATGCATTTCGGAAAACTCATGGCCAAATCCTTACTTGCAACAAAAGATTGCTCGAATTAATGTGTCAATGCTCTACAAGTGGTCTGATGAGGCAGTCGATCCGTATGTCCAGAAACACACATGCCATCGGGTTCTGTTCTGATCCTTGATATTGCTCTGGCTCTATCCATTTCATGAAAAGAAACGGCACCCGAGTGTTCTTCTTCTGTCCGAATGTCACGTCATGGAAACGCTTAATGGATATGAATATTATCGTGTTGAAAGGAAAAAGCATAATTATTTGTGGATCCAGGAGATCATTGCGAATCATGACAACCTCCAACATCTTAAGGAACAGTTGGAACTCCTGGAATGGCATATGGTAGGCCACCGCATTTGTTGGATGCTCCAAACCTTTGTCAATATCGATTTTAGCAAAAAGTCCTTGGATGAATTCCTTGCAATGGCAGATATAATCCATCCTTGCGAAGATGCATCGACAGTTATGACAACCAGGTCATTGATGCAACTGTTGACGAGATATTGAACATGACCCGTGCACCACTGACTTCGGTGAGTCCGAGGATTCTGATACTCGCTTTGAGATTGAGAAGTGATTCAAATTAGAGAAGGAGAATACACGATTCTGCAAACATAAGCTCGTTGAAGAGATCAAAGATGTCAGGAACATTGCCCCCTTCATAGCCGAACCAGAAGCTGCATCTAAAGTAACATATTTCGAAATAATATAACGGAAACCTTTGCTGAAATTGTTTCTCGCGAAATAACTCATAATGCTCTACAAGAGGTCAACCTAAACCTAAACATTTGTATCGGTGAGCTTCAACAGTTGCCATTCCTGTCATGCAAGCCTTTGAGCCAGGCTAATCAGCCCTCTTTACGCTTCGCTGTATGCTGCTACAAAGCGGTCGGTCGGTCTGCAATTGCTGGATAGCGCATTGAAAATAGTCGTCATATGACCCGGTTCAACTTTCTATGAAAAACATCACCGATCCGGAAATTTTACATCTGAAAATGTCGACTTTGCCGGGATGCTGACAGACATGAGTGCGGACTTTAGCAAGAGCAAAGTAGTGTCAATAAACAAATTTTGCAGTGAGAATTGGCAATCTCAAAGAGGCTCTTCGGACCATGATTGTCAAGAGGCACATAAATGATCCACAAACGAGTACAACTTCGCTAAGGTGCAACAACTATCACAGAAGCTAAAGGGCAAGAGTAATTTCATGAAATGGTGCCAATGAATATGGCTGACTGGGAACATCAAGCCGACGGCTATATGGATTTAGTAAAGACGATGAATCGATTGGTCATTGTACACGTAATCTGGAATTTAACAGATGTTGAGGATAAACTTGATTGAAGGCTGAATTGGAGAAGGAGATGCAAGCTCGGAAGAAGTCTTACATAAAGATACTGCAGAATTCAAGGAGCGCAGTTGAAATTGTGTAGAAGAAGAATCTGCAGTTGCGAGAATCTCTGCGACAAGTAAAGCAAGGCTTGAATCAAGTCGATGTGAAGGCACCTGCATGATTTAAAACCTAGACAACAAACATGCCTAACAATTGTTCACTGGGTTTGATGAGAAGGAAGCGCAGTGACTGAAGCAGTTAAAGGCGACCATGGATGATATTAGCGTCAAGAAGGAAAACAAGAAAACTTCACAGTCTCCATACAATCGATCGATCGTGCCTATCTAATCAACGAGGAGCATCTATGTAGACACGTTTCTGGCCAATCACGTCAAGCTAAACTTTCAGAAGCCTCTCTGCTATACTTCAGACATTGTTGTGCATTTGCGATGTTTGCGGATTTCGTGTTATTACAGTTTGTAGATCGTCTCGCAGACAAATATTCTGATCATCGAGCCATTGACTAGGTTCACGCGTACTGAGACAGGTATCAAGATGCTACAAGTTCAGACCACGGCCCTCATGCTTGAACATCCCAACCAAGCCTCCTCAAACATACCCACGAACATTGAGCTACAGAAAGTTTTCAAACTGCATAACAACTTCATCTCTGTATGAAGCCCCAGAAGCAAAGATTTCCCTGGCACTAGATATCACAATTACCGTAATTTGTGGAAAACGCGAGCTTCATTGATCATGATCCTAACTTCAGTCAATGTATGATGGAGAAGTAAGCGAATATCTAATCTGCCCCGAACCTCACTGACCTCACATGAAAATTGCAATCGAAATTGGCGTTTCTACACACCGTAGACAATGTGTTATGATCGGGGCTCATACCATGTTTGTCATAAATAATTTTTGAGTGATACCATAAATAAGATTGCTCTTGTACTTTGTTGCTTATGGATTATTGTTTATGAACTATCGCCAAAGAAGCGCAGAAAGCCATTTAATGTCTTTGATGAAATTGAGTAGGGATTGAAGATTTTCATGCGAAAACCGTCGTCTAGCATCGTTATATTGGTTTTGTGTCATTTTTCTCAAGTATGGAGCCGTGAAAAAAAAGTCAGACATAAATGCAACCCGGCTAGAACCACAAAATACTTTAAGGTTTCATATGGACTCACAGCATCTCAAAAGCGAACACTTGGCGAAATGGAGTGAGTATAATGCTCTGAAACTAGTTTACAAACAAATTTTCTTTAAAATTATTATTTTCGTGAATACTATCCATGCTCATTTTGTTGGATCTAATGATTAACTGTATTTTGATATCAACGGAAACATCTTCGACACAATTGCACTACCTTGTATTTGATCCTGAAGTTGAGGATAATTCCATTGATTACCAAGCGACAAAATAAACTCCGTAAAACAATGGATCAAATTTTGGAATCCATAGAATTTCATAAAGCACGGATTAATTTTGAAAATTTTATATATGAGTATTACGAGTGTGGAGGATGATTTCTGTGTGGTTAGTTGGGAGAAACATAAATACATGTTGTACTTAATGGATTTGTCATTTAAGTACAACGCATTGTTAGCCGTTCAAGCAAATTAACATAGTTCACGTCATAAATAAAAATTGGCTGATGCCATATTATATTCATTTCTGACAAATTTGGCACTTGCCAAGTTAGCAAAGGCCTGGTTATGATACATCTTTAGTGATAAAACCCAATTAAGATATCCCTATCTAACAAAATCATGATAATTGGTTGGATATTGGTTGTGTTGTTTTGGCACTACTTTGAGAAGACATAAGATAAGTCAACCTGTGTACGATTTAACAAATATCCTTTAGATGACATACTCAACGGTTTACGAGAACGTTATCCAACTATCAAGGTTGGATAAACTTGTTATGCAATGACATTGATAATAAACAACATAAAAAAAAAGTGAAAAAATTTGCATACGAAGTTGATGATTGTGATATCTTTATTGAATCGTCATAAATACAATCATCAAGATGTAACAAACTCGCATTCATTTGGTTATTCTCTTTATTGTAACCACTATGGAGATCATTTCATAAACCACTTCGGGTTATATTTCATACAAGTGATAGGCTTTTCTAAACCTATTATCTATCTAACCGTTTAAGACTTGATTTGAGACATGAACGTGTAAATTTGGATTTAGTTTCAGAACTAAAGACCTCAACTTGATAAAATGTCATCTTTTAAAATGTGGATTTTAAGAATCTACGTTTATTGTTATTTGAATAAAATGGCTTCCAAACAAAAGAATCTTCCATTTAAACGTGAGATGTACTAGTTTTTACATTGTGTGTTTTACGGACAACACGAAGTACTCAACTAATCAAGTAAGACTCACATACTACGGCAGGGGATTATGTGGAAAATTGCCAGGTTATGGAGCGCTTGAACCCAGGCACTTGGTCATCTAACATGAGGTCAGATTACATTACTGTCGAAACCGATGAAACTTTTACTGCCGAGCCAACTCTACGAGTTTCTTGGTTGGTAATTGTGCTGAATGCATTTATATAATCAACAAGCCTTGCACTAATCTGGCTCGCATTCTTGATCGTCTCGTTGGGTAGACCTTATCACATCTTCGCTGTGTTCGTATGAAATTTCGATATTGCTTTATGTATTAGAATGATACTTGCAGATTTCTTTCTACCAGAATATTTGATGATATTTAATCCTGTGGAGAAGTGATAACGTTCACATTCTTATTTCATCGTACTTTCGTATATTCTAAATGGGCGACTACGTCACAGCAGAAATCAGTTATCTCATTTCCTTCTTGGATTATTTGGTATTGGTGCTCCACTGAAGGAGCGTTCCAAAAATTTGAATAAGCCGCTTTTGTGTCCCGCACACGGTATTCTTTAGTAAAAGGCGAAAGAATAATTCGCTCTGGGCTGAACACTCGGCTATTGGAGAATACGGAGGGAAATCCAAGATTATCAATCCCCCACGAATGCTCTAGTCGCGCAAACTGTATGGGTTTTATGTCTGGTGGTGCATGCGGGTTAAGTTGATGTTACTAATAGGTCTCCTACCTCTAGTGTAGATGGGAGGAGATTTGTAATACTGAGATAAGTGACAGGAGGGGAATGGCGTGGGTGCGGCGAACATAGTGAGGATTTCGAGAAACTTATTTTCATTGTGTCATATTCCCGAGAGGTATAGAATATGGGCAAATCAAGGTGAAGACAATCTTGCATATTTTGAAACTCTCTTATGTAAATTGAGTCAACATTCTTCGGATTTGCAAAAACTTGTTGTTGATGTGTGCAAGGAGTTATCATTATTAGCACCCTTATCAAAGGATTGACAAAGCTGAAGAAGTTAGATGGACAGTGGCGTCGGGGAGATGAAGTAGAGAGCATTTTCATAGCTCATGGAAAGTTCAACATCTACCCGATGGACCAGTAGAAGTAATATTTTCAAGTTTATATATGCTGAGTAGTAAAGTATGTTGAGTTCAGGGTAACTTACATGTTTAGTCAGTTTCCCAACTAGTGAGCTTACCTTGTAATACCCACTAAGACATATTGCAGATGACACGCACTTTCACTCCCCAAATTAGAAATATGGCAAAGACACGAAGTCTGGCTTTACTAGTAATTGGCTTGATGTAGGGACCCACCATCAACTTGCCAGTAAATATAATTAACAATTTAAAGTACACAAACGATTCTAATTCGGGCAAATACAATCTCCTAAAACTGTGTTGCCACTTTTGAAACCAGCTTCGTCGAGTCAGGGGTCCAGATCGACATAGAATTCATTCTTGACAACAAGAAATGTTGAGAGGATTCCTGTAACACACGCCAGCACTTCTAAGTGTACAACGTGCACGCCAGAAGACCCACACGTGAACACGCCTAAACGCAGGACCAATATGGTCGATTCACTAGCTCCTACACTCTGTGTTCCTGCTGGGACAGTTCACCAGTGTCGAATGAATAAGGCTGCCGCCCAGGTGTGTCTACCGTATATACAGTTTCCGAAAGTATGTGTACAACTCAAAAGATCTTCACGACGGGAAAGGATGAGCTTGGCAAAATTGTTTTGATTCAGACTGACTGAGCTAACAAGTTACAACTTCGGGCAGCTTTTGGTCGAAGTTCGTACGTTGCTGGATGACTCTGAAGTTGTACTTCATGAAGGTTTCATAACTACTCGACAAAGCTGAGGAGGAACCCACTGACTATTCGGCGAATCAGAGGGTTCGGAATGTGGCGACATATTCTGCCGTCTGCGTAAGCAAGGGCGCTAGATAAAAAGAAGCTGGTGACTGCACGCTTGTAGTTTATGCCACTGAAAAATCCTTCCTTGCCTGGCTCTTCCTTCGGTTTGTTTTCTTCAAAGGTGGTTGACGATTCTGGTTTCGAGGGCGGGTCTTCTCCTATGATGTGCACATTGTTTTGATGGAGAACCCGTATGGTTTGCCGTCGCAACGATCTCACCACAATAATTACGAGCAGCTGCTCGCAAAGTGCCAGCACTGTCGGACCGATTCGTCTTTCCTGTTCAGTTTCAGCAATTTACAAACACTTCCAGATGAGCACGGTAAAAAGTACCATCATCAGAGGTCAGGTTTAAGATTCATTTCTACTGTGTCACACATTGCCAGTCCCCTTTCCATAAAGCCGGAGGCTATCTAGCAAATAGCTCACGGTAGATTCTCACATCAAGGCCAACATATCTAAAATATAAACACAACCTGGTCGCAAAAGGTTAGCAATCATACATTTTCTCCTCGAAGTCGCCTTAGCGAACTAAGAGCAGCCACTGAAGTCTCCCCTGCGAGAAGACCCTCTCCGATAAGGAAGTTCTTTACACAGCTCATAATCTCCTCCATCAGAGTTGTATTCGGTGGAAGATTTTTTAGTATAACCTTCACAAACCAACGAGCGTAACATCACGCAAAACTGCGATTAGGTTGGAACCAACAAGCACCCTCTGCTTTGAAAGACGTTACTGCACTATGTAAACGATAACAAAAGTAAACGCGAATAACCAAATTTGTACCTGGTCATCTATTACTTTCACCCTAAGATAGTTTTGTTTAAATAGAGCATCTAGCATTGCCTGTAGGTAACCTTCGATATAGGCCTGCGACCCAACATGTAACAAAATGTCAGAAGAGAGGCCATGTTCATCGCTGGTATCCTATTCCAGATGGGAGTTGATAAAGTCTTGATCGCGATATTCTTAAAAACTGAAGGGCACAAGATCACATTTTTGACAATGACTATAAAAACTTAGTTCAGAGCAACGTACTAACACGTAAAGATCATGTCCTAGCGGAATGCTGGGTTTTCAGCATAACTTGCATGTCACCGGATCCTAGACTGATCAGACAGTATATGCGCCTTTACAATCTTCAACAGTAAGCTACTGAGGAGTCTTATTTTATCATCTTAAATATGCGACTTTCGTTTTACCCATCTTCATTCGTTGCCGTATTCATTAAATGTAATATGTATCCTTAAAAGTATATTTAAGCATTTTATCGATTTATTGATATTGGACTCCAATCAATAACATCGGTTATTAATTTATGCAAAGGTTCAAGAGTATCTCACCTCATCTGCGCCCACTATACGGTCTAACTTAATTCTTCTCGTTGCGCCTCCCTGCACTACGGCGCTTCGAAGGACTGATGGCTTCATTGCCACGTTGACTATGCCTCGTCTGAACCCAGTTACCTGAAAAGAATCAACTTTGAATAAGATTATTTTTCTGCTCACAAGTTTCAACCCTGATGTCATCTTCATCCGATCCCAGACAAGTGTCTTCATGAAGTCTTTGTTATGGCTTGACACTTACCACGCCATCAAAACCGTTGGCATCTGCACCTTTGAGTACACTGTCTGATACTTCAGTTATGACCGCAAAAACCAGGTTCGATCCGGCTGCCTTGACCTGTTTAAGATAAGGCAGGAAAGAGGACGATCAACGTATGACAACTGACATTGGTTGTAACCAATCGTAAATGGGGGTGAAGCTGCAAAGTGTGACTGATCAGAAATGACGAAAAATATTAAACACAGAGTTGTCGAGTAGATGTGCCTACAGATTTCTCAAGGTCTCCCAGATAACGTTGCGTGCCTCCTTTTCCCTGTTTGCGCAAACCTCTACTTAACACCCCAAACATGCCTGTGGGCCAACATTACACGGAGAACCAGCTTGTTAGGGCTCTGCCATGGTTTGGACTTTACATGCTGAAGTTTACATATGAAAGCACGGGAGTTGGTAAATTAATGGTGTGGAACTGTTCATATTTTGCAATCAGCACAGTTTATACGATAAAAGTGAAAATTACCTAGTGTCAAGCCTTGAAGATCAACAGACCCGCTTGATGGGTCAAAGAAAACGTCGAGGGATGATGCGGCTGAGTCGTCAAACAGCGAAGCAAATCCAGGAGGTAAAAGCTTACTTCCTCTAGCTATATATATTGCTCGCATGGAATACCTAGAACAAAATGTGTAGATATGTCAAAAATAAGTTAATGTAAGCGCAAACCCCTCTTTCAAGCTCTTCCGAGTCAAACTCTCAGCATATCCATCTATTTGTTCTAAAGCTTACCAGGAATAATGTTGTGCACACTTCAGTGCCAGCTGCTTGAAAGTGAGGAGAGCATGAGAGAGTAGCACCCCGTTGAGCTCCACAGTCGTTCCACGTACAGCCGGTATCTGTTAACATTCAGGTTCAGTTACAAAATTCTATTCGTGTAATTGATACTTGGAACACCCAGCTATCAGTATTGCCGTGTTTCAGCTTCCAGCTGCATTTGTTGCAACCCTTCTGTAGGCTGATCCTAACAATATCGGAGGAAGTACAACTAAACTGCCGCTCTTCGTAAGTTGCAATAATCCAGAGTACTACATCACCGTACCTTGATAACTGAATGCAGCAGTCCTCGAAGAGTTTCCTGCCCTGATGAATAATCGGCTCTTGGATTACCAGGAAGGAAGCTTCCGACAATCTGGCAAGGACAGAGCACTTAGTTTCCCTCGTACCAACGAATGAATTGAAAGAAGCAGCATAAAAAGATATAATCCCATCAATCTCAATATCTGTTACGCAATTTCTCAAGTTGCTAAAACGAGGTCGCTGTCCTCTCTTCTAATAGTGCTACACTTGCGAATTCCCACTACCAGAAGAACATCCATATTCAAACCTGAACTTTACAAGTTTCACGCGGCAAATGGCAACAAAGTAGGGAACACTGGAAAGGTTTATCGTAGAAAGCTCTCTTGGCTTTGGTGCAGCAAACGTGCTCACTTATCAGAAATCTCATCACCTTGATTGGATGTATCTCAAACCGTTCAAAGTAGATTCTGCGACTTGGAGCTGTTGAATCAGAAAGAGAAGACCGGTAAAACGGTGCGAGTTTCATCAAAGTATCTTCGTCAAGATTGAGATCAATTGCCTGCAAGTGTGAAGGTATATCAAATTAGATGCTCAAGATTGTTACCGAATTAAATACGGAAAGTGCTGTCTCTAGTTAGTCTTCTGGCACCCACATTTAATTACTTTCCGACATGGTGCCGACCTCAACAAAAGTATGCAAGGCAAGCCAATCACGACCTTCAAAGCAAAGCTCTTCAACTGATACACCAACCCCGCAACCCCGTTCTCCTCCGCCCGGAACACAATATCAGTGATGTGGACAACAATGTGAAAGTGATAAAGACTTTGAAGTACAACAGTACAGTAGAGGATGTCAAACCTGCAGTAGTATGGACGCGTATTTAAGTTGAATGGGATTCCTGGCTAGGTTGGACATAACGACAGCCATGTGAAACACTGTGTGACCTTTACTGAAACGATCTTGACCATGTCCTCTTAGCATTGCAGCCACGGGAGCGCCCTGCCATCTGACGTCTATATCGAGTCGCTGTTCACAAGAGAGTCAATTTACGAGGTTGAGAACTGAAGGTTGAGATATGCTTGAACTCTTTTCTTCAAATTTTGAATGAAATATTTCAACAACAAGTACTTGAAATCTTCCGCTCATATAAAGCTCATCCGTAGCAATTATTTACCTCTGTTTTAAGTTGACATAGCGTGTACTCAGGCGGGACTAACGCTTCTATCAAAACGTTCGTCAATCGGAGAGTGATGATGGGCACGTATGAAATTGGAGTTGGAGAATCTCGTTCACCTTGTTCAGTGTCAGCTGTCTGAAAACATAGCCACATAGTTAAAAATTCAATTCAGACAGCACACAAGTGGCACAAATTCCTGGCTTCGTTCAGCAAATACGTACATTCACGAAAGAGAAACGTAGGGGCTAAATTTTGGTCCAAGTGAAAATAGATTATAAATAACATGATAGATTTAGATGGGCCACCAATAATATAGTCTATGCTTTCATGTCCTGGCCCTTCAAGCATTTTTCCGAGGTAAAATGTTCGAGCTCACACAGCGTTTTAATATTGGTACTTATAAGTAGACGATATGCACTCTACTTGAATCTCAGTGGGGAAGGTCAATGTCGATTCTGCTTTCATCACCCCAACTTACCTGTTTCAGAGGTTCCACTATACTCATAGTAAAAACTGGCATTCGGATCTCAATCTCCTTCTTAGGACTCGATATGTTTGATTGCCAGCGTCTATCCGTTTTGCTGTCTCTCTCCTCACAGATACGAAGAACACGGGTAGGACCATCTGCATATACTTCGTAACCCACAGGTGGCAAGCTGCTCTCGCTGGGTAAATTGTTGTTTGCATCGTCTCCATATAGGGCCATATTTGACAGTTCATTCAGAAACGGGATTTGCAGGAGACCTTTTTTACGTCTTACTGCCCTAAAAGACTTCCAGCTTCTCAGCTTGTCAAGGTTGACATCATGAGAAAGAGGAGTACCTACAATAACAGAACAATACATGAATGAAACATTTTTTACAACAACTGATGTCACAATGCTTCAGTATAAAGATCTTGTCTACTTCGAGAGCTACTTTGTACATGCATACTTACGGGTCGATAGTTTATGTAAGGGCTTACCGGAAACTTTGACAGTGAGTTTGTGAGGCAGGCCAAGGTCGTCCCACACGTACCCCACGGATGCGCCTGATTGTAAAAGTTCAGATTCATTCAACCCCTGACATGGACACAATATTGAAGAACCATGAGTTGCTGCTTTCAACTCATTAACGTGTGGCATTATCATCTCTTACAACAACTTTTCTGGCGAGGTTTGAGAAAACCATTGCTTAAGTGCTCACCTCCTGACTGTAGGTAATAGAGGTTGATCGCAGTACATTCTCTATGTGATATGGTATGGCGTCAGCAGCCTGCTTCCGGAAAGCTGTAATTAAGGATGAAGCTTCCTCTTTAACATCTGCCATAGCAAACCATAGCTCTTCCTTTCGAGGCATCTGTACTGCGAAGTCTTCTGATTGTGGACGTCTGATCTTCACTGAGAAAGAACCCAACGCAGCGGCACACACAGGACCCGACCAATTCCATCCTGTCTCCTTCGGGCGAAACCGTACCGTGAGAAGCACCTCTGGTCCTGCCTCTGATTTTCCTCCCGCTTGCGCTGCTTCTTTACTTGGCAACACCTGTGCATGTAATGCAGCCCGCTCACCAGGAGCCAAAGAAACCATAGCCTCTGCATCATCCTGGAGAAGTAGGAAGAGTTTCTTGTGTGTATCAATAATATGCAGAGATTAAATTGCAGACACTGCAAAAACAACTGAATCACATTTGTTTTGCTGGTCCCGACCGGGAAGTGACCTTTGCGATCATAAAGCATTTGGTCTGATGTTGGCCCTCCTCGAGCAGATATGCCCCCACGTCAAAAAATTTGGTCAATACGGATTGAACGCAAATGATACGAAGAATATCAAACGAAATTTTCACAATGCAATTAGAAGTACCTGAAATCCATCTTGACAGACTAGAATGGCTTCGCCTGACTCGTTAGCCACAATATATCGTGGTACAAGTCTTATAACACAGGATGAATTAGTATCCCCAGCATCTGGTAGTTGCATGTGAACACCCAACTGAATTCTGTTCAACACACTGTCTTGACCTTGTACTTTCAAACTTATCTCCGTCGATCCTGATAGAGACTCAACATCAAGAATTGCAGGTTCGGCTTCGGGGTCTGTTCTCTTCACAAGAAGCTTTGTGGATCTGTTACAGTGCAGAACGTAGGTGTAAGTACAACTTCCTCACTACGGAACAAGAATATACATGATTGCTAGTTGAAGGATTTTAAAAACCTTTTGTGAAATTTATGAAAGTCTCATCCATCTCAGGAGTTGGCTCGTCCACATTCTCTTCTCTCTTGTAAGACAATCCCAGCTGGCAACTGGCACAGTCTTAGCAATAGTCTCTGCTTCTCAGTTAAGAACTCGGTTATTATCCTCGGTTCGCAATCAACTTCTGTTAATGGTTACTAATACAAGGTTTTCGACTGTTGTAAAGGAGACGACGTACAGCTGAGCTAATCACAGGATTTGTATAAGTATCCTGTAACATTTAAGATAAAAAAGCTGACTTGCCTGTCAAACCAAGAAGCTCTCGAATACGGTGCTATGGTAGTCACTTTTCCTGAATCAGGCCACTCGAGCTCATTCGCTGCTCGGAGCCCTCCCCTACAACGACAGTCAAATAGTGTCAAAAAGCGCTTCACCTTGCAAGACATCTAGTAACTAGTCTTGAAGACCAATGCACAAACTCGCCATCGATACTCACCATCGCCTCGATGATTTGTGCTTAGAAGGACAGCAAAGTAATGGAACATGGCTGTCATTGTGAAGTATATATCTGGTCAAGACAGCAGCCTGCACACAAATAAAGTTTGAAGCTTGACGTCAAAGTCTGAAAGTCTCGGTAGTGGCGAAGCATTCAACAAACCTCACATCTCACATGAAAATAAAAGCATCAACTGGTCAACTGGTCATATAGTACATCCATTCGCTGGGCTTCTCATGTGTGCAGATGATTGACTTATCTGCGAAAACATCAAGTTAATCAAATTTTTGAATTTTCAGAAAAATCAAAGAGCACGTGTACCTCCAATACTCCATCTTCTCCTCTACTGACCGCGACAAGAGCATTATGAATACCATCTCCGAAGTCTAGAAACAACTCCAGATCCTTCAAGATCTCGCCCTTTCGAGAGATCTCCTTGTTCCCTACTCCTAAGCAGATGGGCTTGGTCGAAAGACCAAGGCCTTCATGCTTGATTGTTAGGAAGAGATCACCAAGCTGAATGTAAAAGCGTGCCGTCTCTCCGCTTTCGACCGTTGCCTTAGATAGCGATTCATCTCCAGTAAAATCTCCTCTTCTCTTATCACCTGCTTCATAATCTTGTTAGTTCCAAAGCACACAGATGAACGAAGACCAGCTGGTATGAAATCAAGCAAGGGCCATGCGTTTCTGGTTTAGACAATTACCTTCAGGTATCAACGTCAGTGTAATTGTGATACTCGAAGTCAGAAGGTTTATAACACGAACAGTTGGAAGCAATAATATCTCCTGTTGTTCTTGCCAGGCGACAAAAGTATATTTACCCCGCGGTTCTTGCTCTAACTCCTTAGATGATTTTGGCCTTGAAATAGGTACCTTTCTACAAGTTGTTCTGATCATGAAGTGATAACCTTTTTTCTCTATGTGTTCGCTAGGTTTTCCCGTTAAGCGAGGCTTTAAAGCACAATAGACCACCCCAAATGACGAGTCAACGTTGCGGACTTTCATTGATTTTTGAAAACTATACTGTAATTTGTCAAAAAGCCCGGCTGCTTTCACAAGTTTTGCCCCTTTCACGTCATCGGACCATTCGTGGTTAGATTCTACGGTTACTTTGACGTCTGAGTCCCCATTATCTGCTGATTGGATAGCTTCAGTTGGCCTTATAGACAAAAGATAGTTTCCTGCAGAGATGCGAAAAATTGTCAGGCTGTTGCTGCATGTAGCCGAGAGCAGGAAGAACAGAAGAATGCACCTAATTATACATTTCACGCGATGGAAAGAAGGTGGGTGAGCCAAGGGTTCAGATTGTTCAAACGCAGTAGGCATTCTGGAGTCTCACCAAGGTTGAGAGATGTCAGTGCTTTCTTCAGTTCACCCCTAAGGTTCAAGGCATCAAAAGCTCCCATTGAGTCATCGATCACATCTCCATCCTCCAGCTGCACCACTGCACCTTCTTCGCCTTGTTTATCTCGTCGACATCTGAGCTCCAATAGCAGACCGCTAGCATTTCGAATCCGGATCATGGGTGAGACTGTGAGATATATACCGTCCTGCAAATATCCAATGCTGTTATTCTCTCAACACTTGCTAATGGCAGAATTTATTGAAACAATTAGATTGGATAAGCCAAAAGCGATCAGTACGACTTGAACTCATGTTTCTATAAATTCCACATCTTCATGTCAAATGCATCATATGGAATGTCTATACCTGACTTCTTCGTGTGACGTCCACGACAACTATCGGTCCTGGGGCTGATCTCTGTCCTGCTTTGTCCCATCAGGCAACGTTGTTCAATTTGTAATACAGGAAATCAGCAAACTTCAAGTCTACTACAAGAACTTCATATAGCCCGGTGAAAGTACCTAAACACTTTTGTCAAAGAGAAATTAAATGAGCACAGTACAGAAGAAAAAAAGCTATGGAAGGGAAAAGGCTTACCGTCGACGTCATATAGCCGAGTCCTAGTTGCAATAACTCCAGGCTCTCCAAGCGTCACAAACAGAGTTGAAGACATATATCCTCCATCCTTTTGCAGCTTTAGCTCTAAAGTAGAAGCAACCTTTGCGGAACTAGTATCTCTTCGAGAAGTCATGTGCCTGGCATAGCAAGAATGATGAGCAAGTATCACTCCCATCATGAGTATCGATCTTCGTAAACAGCCTTCAGTAGTAAGTTCAAGATAGTCGAAAACGATGATTGACCCAAATTTTACGTTGGATGTCAGTTTAGATTTTCTAGATTCTAGGACACATCTGACGTACTGATTTCAAAAGTGATGAGCAAGGGAATGAAAACGGGAAATCATCCTACAATTCCCAGCGTGTGAGTAAGTTTGAAACTTGAAGGGCGCAAGCTCACCTCATCAAGAAAGAATCGCTATGCCAAGCAGCTATCATACCATCGACCTGGTCCATTCCTTCCGATTTGCCAGATTCAGCTGCTCCAGACAAGTTAGAGGGTCCTTGATTGAAACGGCATAGCAAATCCACTCCAGTGTGATTCTCCACCTGTATATTCAAAATATGGATTAGGAGAATAAATATTCACTTTCACTTTTTTTAGCGTAATTTCAAAGGGACTCCCCAAGCTAGCACCTACGAAATGTTCGTGTTAAATCACGACCTCAAGAAGTTGGGAGTGACTTGACATTCACTTCTAATAATAACCACAAAGGAGAAAAAGAGAAGAAACTAAGGTGTCTGCCAGAGGGAACTTACCAAGCAGCGATTTGCTTGCACAGGAGAATGCTTCATTGTGAATGGGCCAGCTAAGTCCAGAGCTCCAATCAAGAACAGGCAGGCATCTAGCGAGGGCTCACTGACCACAAATTCCACCTACAATTTCAAGCAGAGACACGATTTTACGTCTACTTTTACCAAATTCTTATGTCAAAACCATATGACCAGAAAAACGCAAACAATCAGTGATCATTGAGAACTTTCATTTCTACGTTTTTGCAAACGAGAGCATACAACTGGTGAGAAAGATGCAAAGGATAACGACATACGAAAAGTCCCACATAAGAGTTGCATCTCGCCTGACCTTTCGGAGTCTTGTAAACAGCGCCACGGGAGTCTTTTTACTGTTTGTAGCCATCACAGCGTGCTTGACACTTCTTGCCCGATAAAAGATATCGGTTTCGATTGGATTTATGACAGGCACCCTGTAGTGGCGAGCTTGTAAGACCATGAGTACAGAAACTAAGAAGAAACTCAGATTTTTACACTTACAAATCATGAAAGATGGCTACGGCTTCTATTGAACAAAACAGTCGACACGTTCAGCCTGATAACAGAAGAAGATCGGAGATAATACTCATTCTCCTCCTCCGTCTCCATTTTGTCTAATCCGTCATTCATATACAAAGCTTCTTGAAAGTCTAATAATTAACCTCTACCTAGATTGAGATGAACTCTGCATATTATGTATAAGCATTAAAAAGTTTCGACAAATCGCATGGTCTGAGTTCTACCATAAAGTAGTCTGCATTTCGTAATACTCCAAGACTATTCCGCATTGAAGTATTGTCCTTGATTTCGTCACACCAGCTTGTATCACTCCCTCGGTACCAGGCACTCGGACTCGTAGTAAGGGAAGAAGATGTAACCCTCCAGCAGCTTCATGAAGCACCGTTAGTACAAACGTTTCGAATTTGCACAATACATGAGGGATGGACGTTACCAAGCGTACAGCTTCATGATCATCCAGCGGTGGAGTTTGCAGAGGCGTCTCGTCCTTTTGTGTCAGAGCCTTCGCTTCCTCTGGGTTCGTATCAGACTGAGTCGGTTTCGAAACGACTTTTATTTTGAAGGGATTTCCAGGCTGTTTTACTAAGAGGGGAACATTGTCCTCAAAGGCAATTCCGGTCTTGCTTTTTTGGTTTACAAGGTGAAACACACGCCTTGATGAAGAGTTCCGTATATCAAAATCCCCCTGCTCTTCTCCTTCTTCTTCTGAGGACTCTGTCTTTAGAAACTGCCATTGCTCCCTAGACCCATCATTTGTACTGGAGACGTCTACCAACCCAGAACCAGGGCGGTAATGAACTCGGAGAGGATCCCCCTCAGAATTCTTGGCATGTAGAGATAAAAGGGAGAACCATGCTGTCTTGGACCTTGTTGTCTTGGAAGAATCTTGATATTTCACCTAGGATGAATAAAAAATTCATGTCAAAACTCATCCATTCGAAGTCGCAGAATATGATACATTCCTTGTAGGTTAGCCACTCGAAACTATGCTATTACAGACTTCTGTACGGTATATAAAACTGTGACAATAAAATAAAAGTGGGCATAGTCAGCGATGGATAACTTTGCCTTTAAAAACTTCAACCATCGTCCTGTCAAGATATTTTCCAGATGAATTCAACTACTCGGGTCAATTCAGCTTACAAAATGCTTTGGATCACCACAAATTTTTTTTAACCACAATGACTGTTTTCCATTATCCGGACAGTATACTTGTGGATACAGTGAGCAACACTTGATCTGTCATGTACCCCAGATGGAATCCTAAGAAGGTTCAACTGATAACCAGTTTCAGTTCCTGTAACAGTGTTGTAGATTGGCTCGCGTGTTGATGTGGGTGGAGTACGGTCCGATCATTTCTCATTCAACTTTCAATCCACGGCAACAGCATTGCTAAGTTAGGCTAAGTTAATTCAAATACTCAAGAGCTCCTACACCGGTGCTTTCATCCATCCTCCCTCGTTCATCCTCTCTACGTCCTAGACATCTAAAGCTAGGTTTGAATGTCGGGTTTACCGTGCAGATGAGGTCATACCTTGAAAAGAGCCTTGTCTCCGGCAAGCGTGTAATGCAGAACTCCCACCAAACGAAAGTTTCCTTTACTTGTACCTACTTCTTCAGCAGCAAGATAGCAGTGCTCGTGAACGTCTTTAATCGCAATTATAGAACCTGAGAAACATTACAGTTAGCTTACTTTGGAAAATCAGACACAGGAAATTTTGAAAGACAAAAGTGGCAAGATTGGTGGCCAAAACTAATATTTCCAGGTATCTCGGCGTGACATCTCTCTCTCAGAGCTCCATGGACCTCACTGTGAGATGAGTTCTAGATTGTAGCTCTAATTCCAAAGGTTTACAGTAAGCGAACTCTCCTATCTCCTAATTCATCCAATTGATATAACCTTGAATGTTATGTGGAGAACGGAAAATAATGACGAGATCCAGTTGATAACACGTGTAGCAGATTCCTTACCATCAGGAATATCAACGTCATATTCATCAGGACTTTCATTGGTCCCTTCTAGTAAAGCATTCGTAGCAATTTCCGCCGCAGAGCTTCCCTTAGATCCCGTTAGGTTGGACAAAGGACTGACAAGGGATTCTACCAACTGCATAAATCAAGATGAAGACAGATGAGTTCACAATTCGACGTTCTCCAAGCTAAAAACATGACATAAAGGCTTCTAACTTCCGAAAAGTTAGTGAGAAATAACGACCGAGGACAGATTACCAGAGCTATATTGGACTGGAAAGCATGAGCACCTTTTATCAACGATTTTTCTGCTAGCTGAAAGTTAGAATTTCGGTACTCACTGCCTACTAACCTAAAAGATCTAATATGCGTCGTGATCCACTCTTGAAGTGATATTCAAACAATAGGCTTTAGCTATACCTGAATTTCTGAGGTAGTGATTGCAACATTTAAGCCATCAATGGAACAGTGACCTTTCCAAGCATTACTCCACTTCCAAACTTTATCTGTGTCAGCGACTCTTTCAACTGCACAAGAAACAGAAAGGTTCTCCAAGATGAAGGAATTAAATTCTGAGAGTGCTTTTCCGAATTTCTGGGCTTCCTCGTCCACCATTCCGCGGATATCTGACCGACTTAGCAGTTCAAGGTCGCCTGAATCCGTTTCTTCTAGCAAACCAGAGCTCCCTCCTCTTTGTAACTTCTTCGATAGATCTTGTGATGAGAAGGTCCCCTCGCCAGCACTTCCACTACTTCCAGCTTTCCTAAAGCTTGAACCGAATTGTGGAGCTCGAGAACCCAATCTTCCTGGTTTCTTCTGCGAATTTCCAGGAACTCGAGCTTGAAGACCGAGAATTGTAAACCTTCTAAGATCCACCGAGGCTTTCTTGGCACTCTCGTCGACTTCAATCAGAGAAGATATCTCCAACTCAAACAATACTCCTTCTTCAGGTACTGAAATCCACATTAGAGAGAGTTAACAGTTTCAACCATGAAAGGAGCTGCGGGAAGTTTTTGTGTCACAATTTTAGCCGTCTGATAGAACTGTAAACGATCTAACCTTCAGCATACAGACTTGATCTCAAGGGTTGATTTGTGAAACGAGGAGCAAGGCTCACAACCAAAGTGTGAATACATTAAGTGCGAGGTCTTGTATCAACGAATATGAGATTGCAATTATCCTTGACACAAAGTCATCTAGGAATACTAAATAAGAATATTCTCATGCAAACTTGTGAGCACTAGTATATATGTACCTTCATCTGTAGAACTGTGTCTAGCCAGAACGATGGAAAAGCCTGAAATCTGGGAAGAGACAAGCCCTCCAAACGTTGGTGATACGCTCTTTGTGGAGCCCCCCAAGGGAACTCTAGATCTAGGAGGAGCCGATAAGGTCCTCTTAAACTTCTTCGCTTTGTTCCCCGTGGGTGGTGGTAGAGATGACGATCGAAAGCTTTTTGATAAGGAGGACGTCTGCCAGCTTGGCTCATCTGCCATATCGAACTCATCATCTCTATATGACTCACTCTTGGTTTCACGTGAAGTAAAAAGAATTCCTGCTTTCTTCACCAGCTCGTGAATGTCCCCGCCAAAATGCATCAAGGTGGCCACAGCTGCAGTGTGAAGAAGCACCAAACCACCCTGATCCATGCAATTTCGAAGATTAAGACTCACCATTATCCATTGTTATATACAAAAAATCACAACAACATATCATTCCAGTTGAATACTCTCGGTAGTCAACTTATAGTTATCACTCCGAGTGTGAGCCACAGCCAACCTATATGAACAGTAATAAGCCTCACCTCTGTGATGAGCGAAATATTTTCGAAGCTCCTGTCAACTTTCAAGTCCATGTGCAGAACATCTGAACCTGTCGCCACCTTAGCCACTTTGGCAATCAAAACATCCAATGAACCATCCGTTAACAACACTTTGTCCACTTCGACACTCACAACCAGCCACTGTGTTCCAACTTCTGAGGTAACCAGAGCATCACTATCGTCGACCTGGTGAGGACTCTGTTGTTGATGAGCTTCTTCTTGATCAACTGAAGGAAGAGTTTCCATGGACTCTAGCCCCACTACACCATTTAACTCACGCTTGGAATTTTGATTAGGATCCAAATCATTATCTCTAAGTGTAGTCGGCGAAACTAATTCGTCTCCTCCTTCCGTGTCCCCTATCATCTCGTTGTTGTGAGGTTCAGCTCTTGCAAAACCTGTGTTACTTCTGTCTAGACTAACACTTTCTGCATCAACCTCAGTAAGTTCAAAGTAATTTGGACCAAAAACTTTTACTGAAGTGTTGGCGACAGAAACTTCAGTCAGTGTTACTGCAGAAATCCTGTCACTTTCGGAATCACTTAAAAACTGCTTTCTTATCTCATTCAGATCTCTTTTGTTGCTTACTATACTACAATCAACCAACCGCACGGCAGCATTGTTTAGAGCAGAAAATACATACAGCTGTACACCATCTCCCATTGATGATTCGACGAGAAAGTTTCCAAACGAAACATATGCTTCCCTACCCATGTTAGCTCCCATGAGCTTCTGTTCCCACGTGGTGAATGTGTCAACATCTCTATCCACGAGGGCGAGCCTCTCCTCACGTGGTTCATACCTCAATCCCTCATCTTTTCTCACCCCACTAGCTCCTCCACTTGTACCATCCTCCAGTCTTCCATCGCCCAGAACCATTTTGAAGTTTCCAACTTGTAAAGAGAAGGAAAGGGCGAAAGCAGTGCTTAAAGCAATTTCGCCGTAATCAACAGATCCTTCAGTTCCCGTGTCTTCTTCAGTCGTCTCAACCGTTGGATTAAGTTCCTCCGAATGGAAAACGTTAAACCTCGGGGAGTTCCTAACTTTCTTGATAATCAACGTAGAATCTGGACGGTAATTTGGTTTTAAGGACTCGCTGTAAAATGCAAGAACCTGCAAGTATATACAAATTATAAAGCTTAGTTTCTGCCTCTACTCAGTCGAGAGCTCTGTCTAGCCTCTCTGGGTTATCTCGACGACTGCAGAAGCTTCAGGTGTACTTCACACGGGTAGATTGTTCGCATGTGAATGGAGAAAAAGCCGTTTTCACAAATCAGACAATGCATCCATTTTGCTGGATAGCGCTATTGAGCGTTTGAGCGGTTTCTAACAAAATATGGCGGTAAATTTGAAGAGTTAAGTGCATACCTGTAGCATGATCGACACCTCATTAATATATGATTGTACGCTTAGTGAAGGGATGTTTAGGTTCACAGATGCACAGACGGACTTGCTTGTGCTGAAAAGAGAACTGAACTGATCCCTGCTCCAGACGACCAAATGACGAAAAATAAAAAATTGTAACAGATTTCATTGTGTGCGATACATCTGACTCCAGTACTGACGTAAAGTTCTACACAAAGTCCGTAGCAGCTTTTATCTCATCCATCCACATTTACGTCTCAAAAGATAGGAAGTATGTAAAAATCTGTTGCACAGGCTTCACAAAATATGGGAAATAAGAGCACGTCATACCAGCAAAACGAGGTCTCGATGACAAATCCCAAGGGTCCAACCATCGAAAGCTTCTTCAATGTCTCCCTCCGCATCTCCAGATCTAGAGCGACACCTGTCGATGACAAGTAGAGATTGTTTGCAACTTGTTCGTGTTCCCAGTATGTCCCCTCCCCAAAATCTTCAGAGACGCTTGGTACAGGAGGCTTCTTGAGCCAGGCTTTGTTTTCCATAGATTGCATCCATCGACTAGAAAATCTTCCGGAATCCTCAACAGTCGTTGAAGAAGTAGATTCCACTTGTAACTTTTGAGGTGGCCACATAGCAATTTCCAACCTTCCGAGATCGACGACAATAGTTGCTCCCAAGCTGGAATCATAGCGTGACACATTTCGATCTGCCTCTTGCTCATCCTGGTTTTGAAAGTCAAAAAGCTCATTTGCTGACGCTGAAAGCCTAACTTTCGGACCATCAACTACTGCCGTAAAAAGTACGCTTTTGCCCGGAACAGCTGAAACCATGGCTTCGCGACTCTTAACCAGATTAACCTTATACAATTCATCACAGAACTCCTCCAAAGTTAAAGCAGTCCGGCTATTGGTTTGATGATGCATTTTCTGTTGTACTGAGTTGCTGGTATTACGTTTTTGTGATACCATAAGTTGATCAAGCAGAAGACGAATACGACTCAGATAAGAACCCTTTAACGAACAGTCTAACTGACCCATCGCTAAGGAACACTTGATTACACTACCAGGACAATCCTCCGTGATGGGATCATCGTCTAAGCTGTTGAACTCTGCAATAAAAAATGGTCTCCTGTCACCACTGCTCCGTCCTTTCGATGCCTGTTCATCCTTTAACGGTGCTCTACACTCAGCCCACACTTTTAGTAGACGATCTTGCCAGTTCCAGTGCTTAGCGTACATTCCATCAGCAAGTGGAAGACTATGCGCGTTGTGCCCATATCTGTCAATCTTTTGTGGACAAGGACGACTTGAGACCAAAAGTGCTCTATCACCTGCATTCGCTGCCCATCTTCCGAACGAAACGAAATCCTTGTCAAACGCTCGATCATCCAGACCCTTTGTGAGTTCTTCGGGTAGCTGAGAAGGGAGGATCGAGAGAAGTTCTATCTGTAAGCTGCCGCAAGTGATACTTGACCCTGTAGCACTTGCAGTCGAACCATACGCGACCAGTAAATTTTCCCAAGTGAAGTGGAGAGCAGGAATAAAAGCACTCTCGATTGACAGGCCTCCATCTGATTGAGGTCCATCTTCTCCCTTTTTCCGAACAGATCCGATTGCTCCACTTGCAAATACGATCGAACCTTTCCCTATGGTAACAGCATATGTCATGGCCCATTTCTTCTTAGAAGATCGAATCTCGCCCTCTTCTTGATCCGAGCTCAGTTGAAAATACTTGTCGACATCTCTTTGTACCTCCCGGTCTCGAACATCGCTCTTGGAATATTTTGAACTTACGCTTGCTTCGGACTGAGCTTCGGCAGCTGCATCGCTTAAAGCTTCACTCTCCGAAGCAGGTTTTCCTCTCCATTTGTTCTTGATCAGTCGCCAAGCAGCTGTAATCGATCCAGAAATACCATTTGCTTTTCCCTCAATAGCAATGCTCGCAATGGACATCCAGTTCCACACGGCATTCAAGAAAGTTTGGAAGGATGAGTACATCTTACTGGTTTGCACCGACGTAATGCTTGTGCTGTTACTTCTTTCAAGAAGGTCCTTGGAATGCAGAGCAGCTGTAACACGACGCCGAGCAATACGCCTTCCCAAAGCTATAGCTTCAAGGGGTAAATCTTTCTGGAGTGCGCACAGATCTTTGGAGAGCTTATCGATACGGTCCAACTGCTTCTTACTTCTTACCTTTTCGACATCAGCATCTTTCTTCTGCCCCCAGCCCAGTTCAAGAAGCCAATTTTCATAGAGGTTTGAATACCTCCTTCGAGAAACTCCAGCTCTGATCGTGGACTTAAGGCGACGTCGGGAAGAAAGCTCTACAGCCTTTTGAATTCCTCGCTTCCATAATTCCAGGGGACTCCTCTGGCTTCTTGCATTGTCTAAAGACTTCATTTCACTCCCGGATTCTTCATCCTTCTGACGACCCTCGCTTGAAAGCGGTGGGGCAGGGCCCTTGACCTGTCCCATCAAAATTTGAAAAGCTGTCATCTCCTCAAAGTCCAACCCGACCGCTGCTTCTTGCGTTTCAAGCTCCAGGGAGTCCACTTTGAGCTCTTGCATACTGAATCTCAGATCAACTTCTTCAAAAATTACCACAAATTTGCTTCTCTCTCTCGAAGAAAGTTCTGGTAATGCGACTACAGACATCCCTCCATTTTCTGACGAACTCTGTGCTGAAAGGTAGTCCTCTATTATTTCCTCGGTCTCTGAGGCCACAGCGTCCGCATTGGTTTCACTACCTTCCCTTCCAGCAGGAGTTGACTGCTGCTGCACTTGTTCAGTTGTCTGTGCATCTACCTGTAGCCCCAACCGCCTGATAGAACAGCTACTTGTAGTTATCATAGCATTGCCCTTCCATACACTGCTGGAGGCTTTGGCAACGGCAACAGCCAAACCACCTGAGCTCGCAAATCCAGAGTCCTGTTCCTTGCCAAATACAAAGCTTCCTAATGGAATATGACAAAAATGCTGAAGTTTGTCATGAGCATAGGCCACCACTTTTACTGAGCAGTCTCGGAATTCAAACTTGACACAAGATAACGCCAGACTTGCCAGAAATCTAGTGATCAATTTATTTTCAGTCTTCCCCCCTGCAAGAGTTTCCGCAGCGGCATGGGCACTACTTCCCTGCAAAAGTATATTGCTCGCTAATATCATTACCTCTAAACAAAGATGTCATTTGATCAGAGGAAAGCTGACAATCGCCATTATTCTCCTGATAGGCCGAAATCCGACCGAACCAGAAGTTTTGCGGCTTTGATGACTAAACACGCAATCTGCTGATTTTTGAATTGCCAATCGGACTGACGAGACCATACATAATCGGACCTCTTCAATATGCAGCAGACCAGGACCTCTAAAAAATGTCTAAGAAATTCTTACCCAGCTGAACGCCATACCATGAGAAAGCAGTTCCGACATCGAAAATCAAAGTCCACCAATTAGATAAGTACCTGCGGATCGAGGCCCTCAAGAGCAGCAGTGATTTCCTGTTCCGCGGTTTTCTCCCTTTTTTTCTCCCACCAATCATCTTCGGTGGACCTTGCACAGAAAATCAATTCACCGCTCTTGAAAATCAGCCACTTTCTCCAATTCAATAAAAAAAAAAATATTCCTTCCAGCTCAGATTTGAGCTCACACAAGATTCAGCGATGAAGATCGACATTTGGCTACGTCTAGTAATCGAGCACCTATGAGCCCTGCGCGATACTTTTTGCATATCTCCCAGCGCGATTTTGAAGAAAGCAAAGAGCGTAGAGCTCATTGTGATAATCTGATTTGATAATCTGGGTTGTCACTATGCATCTTGGTTGCAATATACCAACCTAGGTTGCAGCACAAGATGCAAGCCCTGTACGAGAATGGACAACACTGGCATTCGGAAAGGTGCAAATATGAACTCCATTTCTTCCACTTTCACCGCCTCCTTTATCAACAAGGGAGAAGACTGCATAGCAGCTCCATTCAGAGCTTCCACGTCGAATTCGAGATTTCGCAGCCGCAAAGTCACGCCCGAGGTGCTGATTTGAACCTCCGGTGAAACATCGCGAACAAGCCATGGTCGCAAATTTTTGACCACGTACTTCTCGGCTCTCTCTTTCAAACCCAACATCGACTTCGCCTCCCACTCGTCAACACTCCTACCATAATCTGGACGCTGCCATCATTCTCCGCCCCCGACTGAAAAATCTCCAATTCTTTCTAGATTCTCTTATGGCGCTCGAGGTCAGGCAGGCGACGATCAGAATACTGTCACCCAAAAAAAAAAGCACGAAACCAATCCACCAACACTTTCGTCGATCGAAAATTTCCGAGAGAGTACGCGCAAGTTTGTGATCGCTATTCTGGAGAAGGAAGCTATGACATTTCAAGATCGCGCGTCAGGAGCAGCACCCGCACGAAATTTGAGCTCCAAGCTTTGTCCTTGTAACGGGCGTCGCGTGGCATTATTCCTTCCAGCTCCTCGAGGTCTATTAGAGCTAATATGACGATCCTCGGCACAGAGGGCCCCCTGAGAAATCTACCCCCAGACCAAAACAATAAAAGGTGGAATTACGAAGCACAAAATCCGAGTCGAGAAATTGGTCGGAAACATTTGGGCCAGCCTTGCGGAAGCACACGGAGGCGCAGGTGCCGGTGGCTGGTCCCGGTCCACGAGTGTGTGGGCTGCGGGGCAACACGTGGCAGTGCGGCCCGTGCTGCTGGCCTTGCCATCATGGGACAAAGCCCCGAGGCAGCTCCACGTGTACCTCGCTTACTTGGGCCGGGACCTCCACGCAGCGATGACGAGCTCCGTCGACTTGGCATCACGCTGCGGATAGTTGACGGAAACCCGCCGCTCCTACACCCGGCGATCGACGGTCACTTCTCGGTGCTTCTGCGTGTCAGGCCGACTGACCTTATCCGGTCGAACGCATGATTATGTGGTCACGACGAGCAGTCGAAGGTCAACCTCCGACCGGCTCGACCACCGGCAAACGTCGGTGCATATCTTCTGCCCTCCCCTGAACCCTCCACACCTGCTCTCGCAAGTGCTTCTGCCATTTCGACATTCGGACTGAAAGCGAATGCTCGAGCTCAGATTGAAGTGAAATCGACTCAGAATCAGATCGACGTAGAATTCGAAATCGTGGGCTCGAGCTGCCGACCCCGATTCTTTTTCAGCACGCACGCCCATCCGCCTCTGAAAAGCTGACCGATGGGATCCACGTGCGATGCAATGAGGGATTCGTCTTTTCAGCCTCAGGGCATGAAGTTTTCCAAAGTTGTCATGTGTCCGTGAATTGGAAACGTTTTAAGAGTGGAAGGGCTGCGAAGGCGTCGACTGGGAAAGTCACTGACTCTCGGAGCATTGTCGAATTGAGCTTCTCGAGAGCGAGGTTTTTCTTGCATGCTCGTACTCCTCTGAGCCTCCTTTTTTACAAGGCAATTTTGAGGCATGAACCCGACAGAATCTGGAGCCCTCGCGTTTGGAATTGGAAGCACTACCCTTGTGACTGACATTGGGGCCTGACTCGTACGCGCATCATATCGCTAGCCTTTTTAAAGACTGGCCATTCACCATTAAAATTCCCCGTTCGTTCCTGACTGCTACGAGGCAAGGTAAATGGGTGATGCTGACGTGCTTGAAAGATCCAGTTGGTCTTGTCCGAAAGAATTCGCCCCGATCGATTCCGAGTCCACCAGCGGATGCAGCCTCTGCTGCCTCAGATGTCGTTTCCAGAAGTGAGTGGAAAGGCATATGGAACAGACTCTGAAGGTGACAGCCTGTAGTACCATCGAACTCATAAATAACTGAAAATTGATTTCCACATGAAATTCCCATTCGACCAACCACAGTTACTAAACTGATGTGCTCGCACAGAAAACCTTAGCATTTCTCTCCTATGCACAAGCTCAAATGTACAGCAGTATGTACATGTGAGCAGTCGTGGATATAGGCCTGTATGAGGTATAAGGCGTGGTACGAGGGCGGACATTGTAATTAAATCAAATTGACATTTGATTCACATTCAAATTTGGTAACCAGTTGAACAATGTTAAAAAGATGTCCACTGCTTGTTCATCAACAAATGTCCTCTGGACACAGCTTGAAGAGCTTGCTACTCCAAAGCTCTCGTCAGAACTGGATGCTGCTGCAAACCTGTGTAGTGTTTCGCAGCTGCCAGCGACCTTCCCTTCGCTTTCCTTTCTCCACCACGACACAGGGGATCATAGCCCGCTACACTAACAAAACTTTGTGTCGGGACGGAGACTCTGAGCGAAGGTTGCTATGGCAGAAGGAGAATCTGCAGAGGGAGACAAATCGGACGAGCGGCAGGATTCTATGTGGGAATTTATAAGGAGAACCGCTACACCGCTTTGTGGGAAGGCTAGAGAGAGAGAGAGAGAGCACGACTATGTTACATGTGGACTGGGAAATGTGTCAGAAGGGACAATGGGGAGACAGAGAGGTGAACCAGATCAGTTTTCAGGACCATGCTGGCATGCATCGAAGGCATGTTGTTTAGATCAAGGTGCCCAATCCATCTGCTGCCAGTTCAGGGATTTCAGAATGGGTCTCGGGTTGTTTCTCGTTCGGGATCTCAGGCCGAGGACAGTTTGGACAATTCGGTAGCTGGCAGCTCGGGAGAGAGACCAGTTCCTCTTGTAGGTGTTGCTTCTTCCTCTCGAAATCAAAGACCTTCCAGCAAGCGTCCTCACTGGATTCTTTAGAGTACTCGAGAATTTTCTGGTCTATCATAGCAGCCACAGAAGATTGTTCGTCACTGATCCGATCTTGACACTTGTCAAAACCATATCTTAAGACGCACCTTGCTTCAGTGAGAATATGGATCCATTTCATTATGAACGCTAGCATGTCATTAGCTCGTTCCCTCTTGACCAGGTTCTTCTCTTCTTCTGGAAGCCAATCCGTTTCCGAATCATCATCCTTAAAGGGCCAAGTCATATCATCTGGATCCTCCCCTGCGTCCGACCCCTGGACTGATTCAGCTGCGGCTTGCTCTGCCTCGATCTGGGCGTAGTATTTTTGCAACAGCTGCTCGACGATAGGTCGACCAGTTTCTTCTGTTATAGTCTCCAACACGTTTTCCACATCGCTCGATATCTGGGACAGACTTTTGTACATGGCCATGAGCAACAGAGATGTTTGATGGTTGGGCACAGCTGCAGTCTCCAGCAACGCATTTAGCTGCTTCTTGAGTTGTCGCCTCTGCTGCCTCTCCGGAGAACAGTTTATTGCTTCCAGAATGCTGGACACGGATCCAGCCCATGCAGCTGGACTTACTTCTACCGCACGCCCATCGGGTTGTGGAGGCGACGATGCCACGGCACCAGCCGATCCATTCTCTGTTTCGGAAGCTGTGGCGGTCTCAGACTTGCTCTTCGACCCTTTTCTGCGCGACTTCTTCTCTTTCTTGTCTGCCGAAGGTTCTGCGTCGCCCTCTGGAGAGCTTTTGGAGCTTTTCCTACGAGACTTCTTCCCTGCATCTTCTTTGTCAGCTTCAGGTTCTGCTTCTGCTTCAGACGAAGCAGCAGCAGCATCGCTTTTCGATTTTTTTCTTCGTGATTTCTTTTGGTTGTCAGGCGTTTCGCCATCTTGCTCGTCAGAGGTCGTATCTTTCCTCTTCTTCTTCTCTTTCTTGTCCTTCTTGTCTTTCTTATCTTTCTTCGACTTTCTGCGAGAGCGGTCCGTTTCCTCTTCAACCACAACTTCTTCTGGAGGAGGATCAGGTGCCTTCGGGACAGTTGCAGACACGACTTGTGCGAGCTTTTCAAGCTCCTTGAAAACAATGGGGGCAAAAAATATCGGAGGATTTACAGCCAGGTTGTTACGAATGAAATCAAACGCAGCTTTGGTGTATAAGTATTCTTGATTTCTCAGTTCTTCCGGAGGTCGGCTGTTTTTGCCAGCTGTGTTTAGAATATCTACAAATGCTTCACGAATGCCTGTCATCATCTCTCGATATTCCAGTGCTCTTGTGAACGCGTTTCGCCATTTTCTGCTCTCCAAACAAATAGATCAAAGTTAGCATTTATCAACAAACGTTTCTCAATTATGAGGCCAACACAAAATGAAACAACACAAGCCCTTGGACAAACACAGGTCTGCCAAGATCAAGCACAACTTTCACGGTAGACAGAATCTATCACCAGCAGCCAAGGACCCACTAGTCAATATTCCGTCCTTAGAGTAGGTAAGTCTCTCATGGGCGAACCGGAGCAGAGCTCGGATCCGCCCATGATAGACTGTACTGACCAGATCAATAGCTTTGTTCTCATGCAGAACTACCGATCCTCTAAGAATGCTGGGCCTTCTCCAAGAGTTTGTCCGTCTGAGAATGGACATTAGGTGTCGAAACCATCAGTCCAGGGATGAAAAGCCCTGAACTGATGGTTTCGACTACTCGTTTTCGTTGCGTTGAACTAATGTGAAGATTAGAAGTTTGACAAAACTTGAAAATTCTATTTCGTCGACGACAGTGTACAGGATTGGCCAAACCTGAGACGATCTTCGAACATGGTCACGCCCTTGAGATCGACAACCTCTACCGGTTTCTCAAGCCTGGGATAAATGCGGCAAACCCACTTTTCTAAATGTGTGCCCACTTCACGGGAAGAGTACTTGAATGTGAATTTCCTTGCATATCCAGGCAGAAGACTTCCGGTACCGCGCATGACAGTGAATAACCGCCAGCCTGTGCAGGAATTGCAAAACATGTTGAACATACATACTACTTGAATGGTGTTAAATACTATCTTCACGAGTTGATGAAAGCTCAAGCCAGAAACGAATCCCAGTGACGCCTTCCTCTTGTTTTGCAACGTAAGCAGACGTGCCCACCGTGTGCACTGAGATTTTCTCACAGCAGAACGATGAAGATCACTCCCAATTTATTGTTCTACTCAGAACATATATATCACAGGCTATTAAGAACAGACATCTTGTAGGTTGACAATTCAACTTGTGCTGTGTCCTTAGCACTGCCGACTCGCGATACTAGATTGGTTGTGTCCTTAAATAGCACCTTCTTTTTGCCTGCCTGGGAGGACAAGAGGCTCTACAGGTCTGCGCTCCCACGAGTAAAAGATTGCTGTAGTGCCTCTATTCTTCACTGTGACAGTCCTTTCATCGATCTTCCCTGTAAGATTGAAAGAGTGAACATCGGAGATCTTGTTAGAGGTTCAAAGTAACAACCTGTAGCACTACTTCATATTAAAGAATGAATGAGGACGAAGCAAGCACTTCACTACGAAACGACTAGTTTCGCAAGAAAAAGTAGGCTCGGAGCAGAGCTATGGCCGTGCAGAACAGGGTGGTTTGGTTAGAATGTTTGAAGCCAATTCAGACTATCTGTACTGAAGTGTCTCGGAGTATCCGACTGGTGTGAAGGAATGGTCCAACTACTACTCCTCAAACCCGTAAAAGAGAAGTCATACTAAATCTCGACCAGGATCTGGAAAGGAGCAGGCTGCTGCTCAGCTGCCCATGACTTCACAGCCATAGCAACCGTTCAAGGTATTTGATTTTTGATCCACACTCCAATTCCATTTGTTCTCTGTCTACACTGATGACTTAGTGAATGGACATATGCAGGAACTCCCTCAGCAGTACATGATGATCTGTGAGGCTCCCAGGAACAGTCCTATTCAGGCATTGTCTAGAATCCCCGGGCACCATCGCCAGTCTTTCAATTACCTGGTTTACAACAAAACAGTAGATGGGGTGTACTTATATCGGCTGCTGGTCCCTTTTTAACTTCCTTTCTCGGCTCGTAAGGTTCGTAAGGCAAAATTTCTCTCTACATATTCAAGTTCATCAGAGAGGCATTAGATGTGCTGAGTCCAAGCGTGAAAGTGGCTTACTCAAAAGTCCACTTCGTTACACCAAAAGCAGCTTGTCCCGAACAAATATCACTCGCGACAATGTGACAGGTCGATAATGAAGAATTGTTAGCAAGACCACTTGCTCAATGCTCACCTCTTTCTCATCATCAGAGTCACGGAAGTCAGCATATCTTTCATCATAGTCGCCTTCATCATAGGTTAAGTCGGGAGATTCAGAGTACGGATGAATTGCTTTTCCTCTTATCTGTTACAAATGAGCATCCACAATACATTTACTTCAGTTTTGACTTCTCACGGAGGCCACTGGAAGTGCAAGGCTCAGATGTCAACAGTGTTTTCGAGTCTTGTGATGGAGTAGTCTTGGACTTGCGTTCTTGTGACCGAAGTAGGTCCAAGTCCTCAGAGTACTCCATCACGACGAGTCCTATGATGAGTTGTTGATGAATATTCCACGGCTCAACGAAACACCACACAACCACGCGCATATGTCGTCAGACTTGGCCCCCGTGGATACCTCAGAGTGTGGAGCTTGAGAACTAGCCTTGCCAAGTCGCTGTAGGCTCTAAGCTTACGTGAGCCTGAATTTGGCAAAGCCAGCCTCCAGTGCGGGCATGGCTGTGGTGCCTGCTCTGCTCGAACCATTGAGGTCTGCGGGGGACAAGTCTGCCATCCCGGGAAACGGGAGGGCCTGTAACAAACAAGCTCTTCAACAACTGAGTCTCATGGGCATAGCCTTGCCTGCAAACCCTTGAAATTGGGATAGAATGGGTGCTCCTTGTGAAGATCGCCTACAAGGTTGTGAATGAACCAATCAAATTCATTCCAATTACTGCGCCTCTGATCACGGCTCGACGTATCCTTGAAATACTCCAATTTGGGCGTTTCTTTGTCTGGGTTACCAATTCTCACAATCTCTTTTTTTCTTTGCGCCATCAAATTCTCCGGTTTACTACACATTCCGTGAACTCCGACAGGCATCTCCCAGTTGTTTCGCAAGCTCATTCTCCACCACTGATCATCTCCACACGATTGACATCATTAAGTTTTATCTTCAGCCAAACATCTGCCTCTTGTCCGAACCCTTCTCAACGTCGAAGAGGTCATATGTGTGACAAGGTTCAGTAACCCTTCACCTGAAAGCATTTCCCTTAGCTCTGCTGATTTTGCCTCATATAATTCCAGATTTCTCTCTGGATGATTCCAACCGTGGGTATGGAATCAATCAATGGAGAAATCAGGTGCCAAGGCCAATCAGGGGAGCAAAGTCTCTCCCAATGTGCAGAAGAGATGGGGGTTGTAAGAAACCAGCAGGACTCAAAGACAGGTGAAGTAAATGTATTGGTTTTAATGTGAAATCACAACTGGGAGAATCAATGAGCAAGTGAAAGGTACTGACCGTTTCTCCACGAACTCTGTCTTCGATTCGCTTCAACGAATCCACAACACCCGCATTTTCCATCTTCATCCGATGATAGAACCCTTGGTCCATCATCAGCTTGTCTTGGGGTCTGTTGATTCTCCTTGAAATGCTCTCCTGAAGCTTGGGTCTGTCTTCTTCGAACCATTGCCAGTTTCTACAACACACCGAAAGATGAGCAAGATTTCTACGTCATCTGAGAGCTGTAGATTTTGATGAATGATGAAGATCGCCATATTCTCTATTCCATAGTTGTATACTAGCATTCCAATGGATGAGAACAGTGTTTATCTATTTACAACATAAACTTAATCATGTGGATTGAGCTTCTTCATTTCACAAGGTGCCTTCAGAAGAGAATATAATAGAGATATAACGCCAAGATCACAAAGCGAAGCGATTTCGGAGCAAGTCTTGTGCTTGTGCATGTGAATGATATTGAAAATCACTAAACTACTGCTTAGTTTCCCTCTAGGTAGCCCATGGTCTAAGTTATCAGACGAATTTCAAATCTCAAGTGGAGCTGCCTGCATCGCGAAGGATTGAGACTTCAGAGCACATTTTCAGCAAATGGTGCAATTTATGATTGTACTCCAATTTGGGGTTAAGAGATGCTTCCATAATCCTTCTTATCTGAGTCCGCCTGTTCTGAGAGAAGTGGACGCAATTGAACAAATTCTTGGCCGATTTACGTCCTGGTGGTGGATTAGTGTCTTACTCCAAGGCATGAGTCTCTTTGTCGTTTTCAAGCTGCTGAAAGACATGGAACTTCTTCAATTTCGGATCCTCCGGAATTACCACTTTGATTTCGGGACTTAAGAGCTTGCAATATGTGTGCGGTGGCTGCGGCATGGCTACGGCCTCTACAAAGCTACCAGGAAAATTTATCCTCTCCTCTCAATTGACGCGGCTATCCTCCCTTCGAGACGGCTACTCTGCGATCATCATACTTTTCAAAGTTTGAAACCATTCCAGTTCTTCCGTGGGAGTTACGAATTTGCGACCTCTTGCTCCTCCATAGCTCTCGAGAATAAGGTCAGCCTGATAAATAGCAAGTCATCAAGAGGTATCCAGCCCGTCGGTTCACCTGAGCACCAAGATTATCAGGAATGTAGAAGGCACATGGAAGCTCATTTGCTGTCATTGAGACATCCAAGAGTTACACCAGCCGTTCTCCTCTCCCCGATCGCGACATTGAAAATCAAAGAAGAACAACCAGAAAAGATCGATGTAAGTCAAAAGAGTAAAATCACTGCCTGCTGGATGAGTGAGTATCAAAGGAAAGCATTCACGTTCAAGACAAGACTTTTGACGAGCATCTTGATCTGAGGCGAATCTGCGCCAAATGAAGGAGAACTGGACGTCGCGCTCGTTTGAAACGAGGTCTATAAGAGGTGAAGAAGTCAAGGCAGAGTGTAAGAATATGGAGAGAAAAGCGGAGCAATGGGGCCTGCCGGCCGAAGTAGCGAAGCACTACGAGCAATCGAGAGGCAGATGGACGAGATGACAGAAGTGCTGATCCGGCTGATCGGGTCGTTCTGCAAACCCAACAGACCTTGTTGTCCAACCAGAGATGGTAGGAGAGCGGGGAAGTCGGGGCATGTCAAAACCAACTGAACCAAGTCAGAAGCCGTCATCCTGGCCCATGGATGTCGGATGATCAGCTCGATCGACTACCGAGATGACGAATCCACGATCTTGATCCGAGATGAAGGTTGAACTCCTTCACTTCTAGAGGCTGACGGGACGAGACCTGAAGCGTGACAGCCCTGAACTGTTGGCGTAAAACCGCATGGGTCAATAAAAGCACAAACGACTTGACATTCTTAAATCTTTGTCTGCAGTGGGAAATGAGCTTCTTTGACCCTGCAGTCATGATCTTCACTCACCATGCAGGTCTTGTGGGCACTGTTGGTCACGGTGGGGGAGGGGGCGTTTGCCATCTATGAATTTTTGTGCCTGGCAGAAAGAGTGCAGAACAGTCCATTGAATGCATCGTAATAAAGACGCTCAGTCAGTCGTCGAACGACGATTGTGCTGCTGTCATCTGTGGACCCCAGTACTCTCTTATATACATGAAGCTTGAATGCATGGTCTAGGATAGAAATCAACGAAGTCAGCAACCTGTGGTATGCTTCCATACAAGAAGAGATCTCAGAACAAAGCTCAAATCTGCAAAGCACGTATCCGATGGACGGGTTTGTTGTGGAGGTTTTCATCATGGCTGCCAACGATTTACTTGATAATGCAGACTGCGCATGTGCACCACCGAAAGCAGAAAAGTCATCAGCCACTACTCCGATGTACTGATTGAACAGTGCGGGATCTTTGTATACATTACTCTAAGGCCCAGTATACATGGACTTATATCCTCGGACTTACTTCAGTTGTTTGTGTATCAATCAAATTGAGAGCCTACACTTTCTATTCTGTTCATATATCAACGACGTTGAGTGATTTGTGTCAGAAAGCATTTGTTCAAGAAGACTTCTGAACTGAGAGTCTGCAAACTGTACCAGCATTCATGAACCTTTCAGTTTCCCTGAACGATAAACATATTTCCTTGAATGTAACCAAACTGCAAGTTTGAAAGTGGGAAAGACGAATAATTCTCGTGGGTGGAAGAAGCCCCTTCAAACACAAAAACGACCTACGCAGCCGTATGAAGCAATCTGACAGAGTAGTCTGGATTTCATCCGAAGAGTATCATGAAAAATAACAGATTAATATACCGGCCACAGCGGGATATGCTTTCGAGCCCACGGATATGCTTTCGAGTCAGACCTGTACAATTGTCAAGCAGTTGACTTCACCCTTCTACAAAAATCTCTATCGTTCGTCACCTTCATCAACCAGACCGTCGGGTACAACAACTTTCCGAATTTTCGCTCAACGTTGTCAAGTTGACACTGGCACCTGAATTTACGTTGTTCTACTTATCTTCGCTCTTCAGCCGACAGGGTCTGGGTTGGCCACCTAAGTAAGTCATTTGTGTAGCACTTTTCTTACTGAAGCGACACTTGTACCGAAGCCTTCTCATTCAGTTACCAGTAGAGCCCATTCCATACTCGATAAATCTACAGGATTGCCATGGTGGTGACATCTGTCTTCACGCCGTCATCAACCATACGCAACGACTAACATCTACGTCATGAGCATGGTTTCATCGATAGGTTTTCACTCTGTTCGTGACTGTAATATCGCAATTTCCAGTTTGCATTGAGTTCGATCATGAATAATAGATCTTCATCCATGACGCTTTCATAGTGCGCATTTGGTGACTTATTTTCAGTGTGTACAGTTGGCGCATGATGAGAACAACAAGACGTCAATGTCAAGGTAGATTGGTTCCTAGGAATGAGCTCAGTTAGCTCAATGGAACCAAGTCCAATCGGGATACTAACAGAGGCATCCATAAAGCTTTTCGTATTAAACAACGACATGTTTCGAAGAGATTCTTCCAATTTCCTAAGAGAGGCTGGTCTGCAATGAAGGACTTTTCCTTCAAAGAGAACAAAATACAACGAGGCTCCTTGCTTCAGATGACCATTACTTGGAACTCTCCCGTTGCCAGAAACAGTAACTAAAATTGGCAGGGGATGAGTACCTTTCGTGACCCAAAGTGCTATTGGTGCTTGGTTTCTGTACAAGCACATGGACATCATTCTGGCTGGCGACTTTATGGCCGTCCAAAAGCGTAAATGAATACTATAACTAACTATTTCCTCCTAATCAAGATCTGATCCTGATTGTTGTACGGAGGATGCAGATACACCACCGCTCGAATTCATTCGAGCACGCGCTTCTGCAAACATGCGCTGCTGGGCAGCAATAGCTTCTTCCTCCGTCATTCCCCCAGGAACTGCTTCTTTACTTCCCCACCTCCCACCTGCTTTGGGAGAATCCTGCGAGATATAGCAAAGGCAACAAAGCCTCAGGTCTAAAATCCGTGACGACGTGTCAATTTCAACAGAAAACATATAAAATTTGAGTCAACAACACCTTCGAGAAGCTACTTTGACATTAACATACAAAGAGACCAGACTTACCAAGGTTTCAAACCTATGTTGTTCATATGCTGCTTGTACCTCTCCGATATACTCACCGAAGCCCAAAATCTGCAAGATACGACGAAACAAAGGATAACCATGTCAAGAGATATACAATATGAGCAAGTTCTTGTCATGCACATGCACAATCAAGTGAAAAATAATCCAAAGACAAACGAGGGACATACTTCAAGCGCCCTAAGGACGTGTTCAGGAGCTATTGTTCGCTTCTCCTCCTTGCTGCATATTTCATTCGATTCGGATGAGATCAGATTTATAAATTCTGTGATGCATACGAGCCAGGAAAGGTTAGCCAATACATGATGGATGTACGAGTAGATAGTTATGGGCCACTCTCAACTTTCCCTGTTATCTTTAGTCCGGAGCACGGAATCGGTGAAACTATGCATACTATCTAATCTAAGACACTACTTTTGAGCCTCATCCTTTAACCAGGTAGCCTCCGACGAGCGAGCGGGCAACTGAGCCATCGTTATTATTATGAGTTAGAGGTAGACAAAAGCTTATTTAACTTGAACACCACATGATACACGAGACTACAGGATAGAATCGATTCAGAAGCCATGAGAACTAGCACCTAGAAAGACGGTATTAGAGAGAAGCACAGGGGATGAACACTCACCAACGCAACACTCGACAAGTAAGTCCTGAGCGTCCTTTGCCACCCGGACATCTGGTGGCAACATTTCTTTGATTATCTTGGTCATGGTTGCTGATGAGTCCGAATCATGCACACAAGATGGAAGCCTGGGTTAGCCTCAAGATGATATATGCAATCGTGGAACTTTAGCCAGTTCACGCCACTTTCGAAAGCATGTATCCGAGAGACGAGATAGCCCCATTTAAGGTAGATTCTTAGACTATCAGTCTAATATACGATACTCTATACTTTGACTCGTAACACGGTAATCAGATACGTTCTGAAAATGAGATAGTTGTGTAAACTCGGATAATACTGTACACGACCCGGATGAAATCTGAGCACAATGGCAATTCATCCCGATAAAGAACAGCATCAAACCATCTGCAAGGCTTAACCTAATTTGATACACTGTAAGAACGTGCACCTTTTGGTAGCGACACATCTTCTTTGCCCCGGCTGGCGCTCTCCATTCAAATTTAGATCAAATGAGGAGACTCAAGCTGCAATTTGGATGCCCTCTCACTCGACGATAGAAACTAGTTTTCCCATGATACCTGCTTCCGATCACGAAAGAGCAGAGAGAGTTGATGAGTCAAAGTCGCGGCCGGCGGGGACGAAGATCAGACAAATCGACTCCGGGATCACAAGATGGGGTAAGAAGCTTAACTAAGAAGATGATTCCTACAAAAGTTTAAACATGCTCGAGAAATTTCAAATTACAGGCCAACTTTGTGAGTTCACTCTTCCACCTAGCTTCCACTGCATTCCCGGCACCAGAAAACGTCGACAAAAAAGAAGACAACGAAATTGGGCCCGAAAAATTCTAGACGCACAATTAAAGCTCGTTACGGAATACTAGGAATAATTTCGCAAGCGATGTACGCAAACGAAGTGGTGACAACTTCAGCAGTACGGATCAGCAGAAACCCAATACCTGAGCAATTTCCTGTCTGAACCAAGATTCAAACACACGCCAGGCACTTTATCGAGGCCAAAAGCGCGGCGCGTCCCCAGGACCTGGACTAATCTGAGAGAGTTCACGGACCGAGCCGAAGACGCTTCAAAATTGTAACGAGACACTCCCAGACGAAGCATCCGCTCCGACGAGACCTGCAACGAACACCGGCGCAACCCCGCGCGCGCTGCGAGAACCGAAACAGCCACTTTCGGCCCCAATTTCCCGAGAAAAAATCATCCACCTGATCAAACCAGGCCCCCACGCAATCCCGACGACTCGAGGTACAAAATTTGCTCAAGGCGGGAAAGAATCATTTAAAATCGAGGCCAGGAAAAATGACTTCGCTCAGGTGATGCACTCCGCGCGAACAGAGACAGACTAGTCGGGCTGCTTCGCTCCCTCGCTCCCAAAAAGCGGATGGGGTTCGCGTTCGAGATTGTGCGCACACACAATTGCCCGCGCGGTCCGGGCCCGCCCCCGCGACGTCGAGCACCGACGGCTGCTGTACTGCACGGTCGGGCCGCGGGCCGGGGGCACCGTCGTCCTTCGGATCCTAGTTCCAACAGCTCAGATTATCGCACGCTCGCTGTCCAGCTCACGCACCAACGGAGAAACTGGATCACGTCCGGTCGTGACGCCCACTGGGCGACTCGTGGTTACGGCTCAGCGAACCCCCGACCTTCGTCACTTGATTTCTGGGGCGTGCAGATGCGCTCGATCGACGGAGTTGCGCGGTCGGGTACCCGGTTGAAAAGTCAAACGTCTCCGGCCTTGATGGCGCTCCTGCATGGTTACGGATATCGTTTTAGGTTCGGGGCGCCTCTGGCCACCGGGATCTCCCGGTCGGCAGCTCGCTCGCTGACTGTTCCCGATAACCTACTCTTCGAGAGAGTTCGTGCCGCCCCGCGAGTCGCTACAGACGCCACAAATCGCCTCGGGGCTCGACGATGTTCGCACAGGTTCGAGCATGATGCGCCTTGTGAAATCACTCTTACGTCGACTCTGTCAGGCACGACTTTGTAACTCGTTCTCTGACATCTTCCCCGAAAGTCAATTTCTAGACAGTGACGGCCGTCTCCGATCCGTAAAACGTATCTTCCTATTTCGAGAGAAGGAACGATAGAAAGTAAATGTCGATGACAGTTGGGACCGAGTACTGTAATGGAACAACTCGATCGCATCCAGGGCTATATATAATCAGCCGATTTAAGACGATGTTCACATCCATATTTGCATTTACAATTTGTGGATGCTCTTTTCTTGGAACTTCAAAGCTTCCTAAAACATTGTTCTGATGTATACTTGTGGTCTCACTCCTGGTCCGATCGGATCTGAAGATGGAATGATCCGAATCTCCGTGAACCCTTTACACGATGTTGAGCGAAGGTGGCGGTTCATCTCTCAGTTGTTTGAAATTGATTTGGCCAAAACCTTTGCCATGTATCTCTGAAATTTGTAATTGTACATAGAGATAAATTCAGGTCCGTTTGTTGCTTGCGAAACTGGACTTGCAGGACTGATGGACAAGTTACAAAGAAAAATTATAGAAGCTGAACTTGAGGTGTTGAGAAGTGCTAGACGGATCTTACTTTTCAGTGATCCTCATACTAAATCGATAAATCGTTGTCAATCCAAAACTTTTCTCCATCATTCGTTGTTTTCTGTTAACTCTCATGTTCTTTGTAACTTACATTAAGATGTTTTATAACACCAGTCTCTTTGAATAAAATAATTTTCAATCTTTACCAAAGAAAACCTTTTCCTCAACTTGGAAATTATTATAAATTCATGTTTTTACAAAACTCTGAAACCCAAATGGATCTAACAAAATTACGGAAAAAAAAATTTAGGTCAAAAATCTAAGTCTCCAAATTTCTAAACTTGCTTACTATTAAACACATACAATGTGTTCATTTTTGTAACAAATGTGTCTTGTATACTTTAATGGTTAAAAGCTAAGATCTCAAATTATCCACATCAACAGAGTTTCCGTTTTTAAATTTCTGCACCTAAAAAAAGTAATTTGTCGATATTTTGTTTAATATGACGGACTTAATTTTCACTGAATTAAGTTATGTGGTATCAAATATATTTAGAAATGATATTTCTTACGAAATAAATAATATGTATGAAGATATCTTGAAAAAGAATGCAAGATTTTGTCAAAAATATACAATAGATACTTTTAACACTAAAAATTGTATGAATAACTATTTTCATACAAAGTAAAAAAATTCTGTCATGTGATCTACTTTCAGTTTTAATAATATTTTAATAAATAATTTAATAAAATAAATTAATTTTATCTTTCGATTTTAATTCTAAGTTTTGGAAAAGAAAAGTTTGAGGAGTCATTTCGTTTTTCTTAAATAAGAATGTATAGTGTGGTCAGTTCACTCATAGTATTTAATCTTGACTTCTGTTTTATGTCTCTCGAAATTCTGCATTTCAAAGATATGAGTTTCTTGACGTATGAATTTCATTTTAAGTGAATATACTTGTGAAATATTTTTTCAAGTTTTACTAATGTATGGATGAAACTCTTTATTAGTGCTTTTTGAAGTCATTAAGGATTGATCGTCCATTCAAATAAGTACTCATAATGAATACGTTCATTATGAGTACACATTTTTCAATGGACGTAGAGAACATCAAACACATCTTCATCTAACATTTCATGTATGAAAATAACTTTCAGTTGGATGCAGTATGTATCACCGAAAATTGTACTTCAAGTAATTGATAATGACTGTAGTGTAGATAAATCAATTGATTTCCCTAATATACATTCCGTATTGATTATTTGAATATTTCAATCAAACAAATGATTTTTGTTTATAAGTTCAAAATTTCTTTCACATGTAGATCCAAGATCAATGGATTTACATGTGAAAGAAATTTGGGGTTGAATGAATAAAATATATACATTTCATAGATAAGTATGAATTCAAGAAATAATACATGAAAAAAATTTATAAATATAAATATTTTTTAAAAAATATATTATTTTTCCATGATTTCAACTAAATATTTGCAGTAAAGTGATGTTTGAATATTCATTTCAATATTTAGAAGTTGTGACATCAAACATTCAAATAAATTGGTATGAATGAATTAAGCATCATTTTCAAATATTAAAATTTATGACAATCTGGATACTTTATAACTAGTGGTGCTTTAGTAATATTTTTTAGTCTTCTATAATTTAAAGGATTTCTTTTTTTTTCTTCACCTTAAAATAATTTTCAGGATTATTTTTTGTAACTTTCACTGATTCATTTAGTAACTGACTTATTTTATAACAAATTTTTTCCAATCTACTTTTGCAGATCTTTTTGAGAATATTGCAATCTCAGATTGTTGATTTGATATTCATATGTTCAAATAAAATGAGATTAAGTTTGTGATATTTTTCATTTTACCAAATTTTTATAAAAAATTTATTTTAATGAAGATTTTAAAATGTAATTTTTTAAACTTTAGATGTGATATTATAATTTGAAGTAAGAAAATAAGCTGCAATTTTTTCAATAAAATTATATACGATGCGATAAATTGATTGTAAATATGTGAAATAAAATTTCAATGGAAAATAAATATTGTATTTTTTCATTGCATGAATAATTAAATGTATATTTAACATATATTTGATTTTTTATATAGGTTCAAGAAATAAAGTTTAACATAAAGTTGATTCTTAAAAGATCATAAGAAGTAAATAGCAACAATAAGTGTATAAGCACATAAGGTTCAAACGATTTTTATAATCATGTTTCAAAATTGTGTTTTCAAAACTTTTAACGTCATTATACATATAGTCAAACTTGATTTTGTGAAAAATGAACCTAAAATATTGTAAAAAACTTATGATACAATGAAAAAAATGTTTATAGCTTTATTGAATGTAAACCGGTACGAATAACATGTTGTTACAATAATTGGGGTTACTAAAATTTCAATAGATTGACTTCACACTAATAAGGCATGTACACAAGGAACAAAAATTGCGAATGAATGAATAATCTTCTTATATTATTGTTTTATAACCTATACTTGAACAAGTTGCATCATCATTTGCTATCAACCAAAAACTCCATATTTTGAAATCATTGTAGATACAAATCAAACTAAAATTCCCAAAAAAAGATTAACTTTATTAGTCATCTATGAGTTCATTTGCAATTGTGATTTTTTATTTTGATCTCAACCAGGAATTTTGAATAGGCTACTAATGATTAGGCTTGTTTATTGTAGGCAGCTTGGAGGTAGCCGCTTGAAGTACCTAAATTAGATTATGCCATCACACCTATTTATGCTCAACGCTAATTCATTGTTGATTTTGGATGAATAGATGTAAGATTATGTATATTAAGATGTAAACTACGTGTGAAATAAAGTCTACTCTTGCAATAATGATTCTCAGTGTAAAACCTGAGAATCATTAGTGACAAACTCAAGCAACAAACAATCCATCAACATTAGCGCATAACATGGTTCACCCTTAGATGCTAGGTTTCTGGGGTAAAACATTGGGATCGTATAGAGTGTGTTAAGTTTGGTAAAACATAGACCAAACACATACCCTTTATATTTATCAAACAAAGTCTACCAATCTTAGCTCTAAATAGCTAAACATAGGATTACTTCTTAACCGGAATTAACCTCAACAATATTAATGAAACAAAATACTAGAAACTTATAATTCAAATAAAATTTAAATGTTTAATGTTTGCAATAAACTATATTTTGAATGTCACAATAAACTTAGAAAAATTATTTCTAAACAAATTCAAGAACTAACTAATAATTAATTCTAATAACTAATATATCTTAAATAATATTGGATACTAATCACAATGCATTAAATCTGAATTTAAGTAAGAAGATCATAATTTTTAATTTTCAAAAACTTAGATAAAATAAATTTTTTTGGGACAAAAAATATATATCCCATTTTTTGCATGCTTAGATTATAGTGTGAATAGAATTTATTAAAATCGTGTAAGATGAATAATCAATCCTGTATTATTTTGATTAATAAATATTACTCTAACTACATGCTACTTTCATTTGTTTTGAACTTTCTACATTTCAATTGACATTCAAATTTTTTTTAACATTTAATTACTGTAGATACTTAAAATTGGAGATTTTATTTGTCCACAAATTTTACATGTTAATGATTGACAATTCTTTCATAATCTAAAGCATTTTTTGCATATTTCATTTCATTACGTAAAGTAGAATTATACTCAAATATTTTATCTCAATAAGTAATAAATATCCAAATTGTAATACTTTAGGAATTTATAAAAAGAAATTCTGTCATCAAATTTTCTTAGATGGTGTAAATGAATATTGAGTTTAATTATTGGAAATTGAATTGAGCATCACATGTATATTATTTACAAATTCATTTGCAATTGCAAATATACACTAATGCATCTTATTGTAAATTATTGTTTCATAATCAAATTTATAACTATAGTAAAATTTATACTGTCTAATTTAAATACTTTCAAAAGATTTAAAATTTGATTTTAAAAATAATCAGTTTAAAAACTTATCAGTTAGGTTCAAAATTGCTCTAAATCTAGGTTTATGCATTGATTAGAATGAAAGATTGTTAAAAAACTTGAAATTTTATATGATTGAATCTTGCTTCAGGCTGATCTGATGTTTTATATAGCACACAATTCTATTAGTTTCTTATATAAACAAATTTTTTTATTAGATCCAAAGAATAATAAGTTCGACCTTTATAGAAAATGTTCAAAGTTGGTTGGAAGTTTTTGGAAAAAGTTCAAATGTTAAATCTTTAGAATGTTTACATTTAAATCATGATATAATTTTTAAAATGAAATCATAAAATAAAACTACAATGTGTAAAAATTTGTAGAATTCAATAATTTATATTTTTTTATTAATCATAAGTTAAAATTAACGAGTTAAAATATTTTTTTGCTAAAGTTCAACAATATCATCTATTTTGTAACAGATATAAGAATAGTTAGTAAGTTAGTAATTCATGTGAGTTATTTTTCTTATTGTCAATTTTGCTTTATAACTACTTTATCTGTCACAGTGCACAACACGTGCATTTGTCACGGCTGCATGCATGGGAAGGTCAGAACAAGGCTTCGGCGCGGCCACCTCTTGACAACTTGGCGGTGTGACATCTCGGCAGTGTGGCCACGTCTTGGTATCCCAACGGCTCAATGCCGTCTTGACACCTTGGCATTCTAGATTCAACTCATCTAGACAAGATCAGTACAACAACTCAAGTACAAAAAGGAAGGGTTCTTGTCGCATACTTCAGTAGACCAACACTAGTTGATGGATTATTAAAGTCTTGTATTTCTTTATAGTCGTGCTTTACTTTTCTTGACTTCTTGTGTTTGATATTTGGTCTATGTGTTCATCTCTTGTCCAATTTGGTTGCAGCTTGACTTTTTTGTCTTAGCTTGTCCATAATGGTTTGATCTGCTCAAGGCTTTAAGCCTTCTTGCAATCGTCAACGTCTGTGCAAATCTCAATTGTCACCATGAAGAACTTCGAACAAAACATCGACCTTAGTCAAATCCTCATAGCACTTCAACACTTTCAGCAAGAAAATGCAACTCTCCAAAAGTCGGTAAATTGTCTACAAACTCAACCACAACAATCCATTGCTGCATCTGTTGCTCCGACCGTTTTTGAACCAAAGATCTATTAAGAAATTTGATAGAACGCGTTCCAAGTTTTGAGGCTTTGTGAGCTAGGTGCTTTTTATCATACAGTTACATCCTTGTCGCTATGCAAACAATAGCACTTGCGTGATTTGTTGGTAACCTGCTTGCCGAGATAGCTACAACATGATTCGGCTCCATCTTGGAAACCTTGTCTCCTCTCTTGCAGAATTTTGATGTCTTCATGGAGGAGTTTGAAGCAGTATATGGAGATAGGGAGAAAGCCAGGACATCAACAAACAAACTGCAACAAGTAATCCGCTCAGCCACTGTGTATGCCTCGGAATTCAGGCAGCTGACCTGCGATCTCACTTGGAGAGAAGCAACATTGATCAATCAGTTCCATTGTGGCCTTCTTGACGATATCCAAGATCTTTTACTTACGCTTTCAGATTCTTCAATTCTTATTGAAGCTATCACACATGCCATTCAATGCAACAACCTCCAATTTAAAAGTTGGTAAGAGAAGAAGATTACCTCCAACATCCAAAATTTGACCAATCGTTCCATTGTGCCATCTTTGGCCCTAAAAGCGACAGCAATTGCATGTCCAGCCTCTTCTGAACCTGGTCTCATGCAGATTGACGCGACCAGATTCAAATACTTGACAGAGGATGAGAAACTCCGTTGCTGAGCAGAAAAATTGTGCCTATAGTGCAGAAATCCGGGACATATTGCGCGTCATTGTACTTTCAAATCTGCCAAACTCTAGGTTCAATCAATAAAAGTGCTTCAAGTGTTAGAAAATGAGAGCGTCTTGTCGCAATAGGAGCCATATTGTAGGATCACATCTAACATTGACTTTGCAAAAACTATTGTTCAACTCTTGGCTCTAATTGTAGTTTCATGCAACCTATCAAGATCGTTCTTCATCCGAACATCATACTTCAAAAATCCGCGTTAGTAAACTCTAAGGACACTTCTCCATTTATCAATCAAGCTTTTGTCATCGGGTATAATATTTGCACTATCAAAAAGGTTGTTTCTACTCTGATGGAAGTTATCAATGGACGGAGCGTTGCTTCAGGTGCAGTCACAAACGAGACAGCTCCCCTAGAATTTCGTATTGGTTCTCACTCAAAGCTAATTTCCTTCAACATCAAATCTACATCCTATCATCATGTCATATTTGGTATACCTTGGCTAGAGGTGCACAATTTAATCATTGATTGGCGTTCTCGAGATCTTACTCTAAAGCACAACGGTGCCCAGTTTCTCACCCCAATTTCTGAAAAACATCGTGTCAAGTTTTGTTTGGAATCCGATTGTCACGCTTTTTGGTGGCCAACACCACTGCTTGTACTCCTTAGTCTTGTTTCGTCAAGTTTGCAAATAATGTGGTCTGGTAGCCAAAAGGGGTGAGAACAGGTCCTACTCCTATCAAAAATCCTGCCAAAAAAGTCAGTTGTGTCAAAATATATTCTGTCGGACAAAGACCTTTCTATCAAGTTGCCAAAATTCTTCAACCCTTTGTCATTCACATTCATCCAACTAATGATGAAAAACCTTGACCAAGATCAGAACCTGTCAAGCTTTTAGAGAAGTATAAGAACTTTGCCGACATCTTTGAGAAGAAGAAAGCCGACCAGCTCCCCGATCAGCGCCCGTACGACTGCCTCATTGAATTGGAAGAAGATACAACACCTCCTTTTGTGCCACTCTATGGACTTTCAGAGCCCAAAATTCAAGCTCTACGGGACTACATGGCAAAAATCTAGCAAAAAAATATACTAGACACTTCAAGTCTTCAGTAGTCGCCCCAATCTTGTTTATGAAGAAAAAAGAAGACTCTCAGGCTCTGTGTGAAATACTGCTATCTAGGAAAAATGAGTTGCTCAAGAAGGCTCTAGCCTTATGATTGCTAGCAACAGAAAAACATCACACTAATACGGCAATTCCATAAGGTGAAAACACTTTAAAGGTTTCTCCCAAAAAACGCTCTATACATGAAGAAATTTGAAAATAAAGAAATCAAAAAATTTTAGTTTCTTTTCCTGGTTTTGTACCTCGTGAACTTCAAAACATCATAACTTTCTCTAGATGTGATCTCTCAGTAAAATTTAGTTTGACAGAGAGCTTATCTTCTAGTACACACTGGTACAAATTTTACAAACGATAGATAAAAGAAAAAGTAATTTACTATGTATAAATTTTTCCGAAAGTGGTATTTGTGAAAACATACTTAACTTCCAACACTCATAACTTTCTATCTTCATACGATCTAGATTTGAAACAAATATTGAAACATATCTCACTTTCGGCTTTACAATCTCCAAAACATTTTGAGTATGCTTTGAAAAAAAATGTTTTTATGTACTAAGACCACTTTTCTCTCAAATGGACATCGTCTTGGAAAAAGTAACACATTCCTCTACTAACTAATCCGTTGGTTTCATCAAATCCCGCAACATTCAATGTCATTTCACCTATAAAGCAAAAGATATATCAAAACACACACAAAGCCCAAGGACACCAAGATTCTACACCTATGAAAAAGCAAAGTTGAACTGAGCAGAATGAGTTGCTCACTCTTTACTATATAGCTTTACAAGAAAATGTTTAAAAGTAAAACGTAAAGTAAAAATTGAGCGGAATGAGCTGCCCACTCTTTATTACATAGCTTTACAAGAAAATGTTTAAAAGTGAAAACGAAAAGATAAAACTAAGTGAAATGAGACGCCCACTCTTTACTATATAGCTTTAGAAGAAAATGTTTAAAATGAAAACGCAAAGTTGGAACTAAGCGGAATTAGACGTTCACTTTTTACTATATAGCTTTACAGGAAAAATTTCAAAAGTGGAACGTAGAACATGAGTAGTATAATTGTAATACAACTTGGAAGTACATATTACACTGTGATAATCCACCAAAGGCTAAAATTGCAGTTTAACGGCAAAAGGGTCGAATCCACAGGGACAGAGACATCACACAGATGACTAAGTGTCACGTTTTAACAAACTATTGAGGAGTTTGAATTCTCAGGCTATTGTCACTCCCAGAAATACTACGAAGGCCACCCATGAAGGCGCATGAAGCAGCGTAACACACACAACCTGAATTCAACCAAGGCTTACTCCGAAGTTAACAAAACTTCACTTTGGTATTTAGGGGGGAAAATCCCGAAGGAATACAAACAGGAAAAATCGTCCAAAGGTGTAAGTCCAAACTTGAAGATCCTGACTAGACTACACTAGCTCAGAACATTCGGACGAAGACCTTCAGCTACAAAATGCGGTAACTTCGACAAGCTATAGCTCCTCTTGGGCGGTGACAAAACGAAAGACAAAAACAAAATGCGGTAACTTCGACAAGCTATAGCTCATCTTGGGCGGTGACAAAACGAAAGACACAAACGCGCAGAGAAAACAAGTTCCTGAACTGAACTTCCGAAACTGGAAAATCCTCCATGGCCAACGCCTTGAACTGCTTTATACAATCTAAAATCATAACTACCTAACACTCTACACTTCACCGGCTATGCCTCCTATGCGAAGGCCGACTACTCACTAACTCCCTACCCGTCCACTCGTCTGCTCTCCTACGCAGTCCGAGCCGCAACAACACCGCGGTCACCTTAGCCTCGAGGTTCGCAATGGCGTCCCGCGATCTCGAAAAGAATGACTCCAACCGCTTCGCCACGCGCCGCCGACTCTGCCTGTCACCAGACATCAAAGTTGCCGCACGTATCTTCATTTTGCGCAATTTCATTCTCTTCCACGCCGCAATCTCCCAGCGAGCATAACCTCTAAGACACCGGTCAACCCGCGAAATTAACTCCTCCCGCGTGCGATCTGTCGCGCTCCGGTTGTGGCCATCAACCTCTGCCAACTGTAACTTCGCCTCTGCACGCTGCACTCTCAATTCGTCGCACTGCGATTGCAGTCAACCTAGTAATTCTTTGTCTGCCTTCCGCACGGTCCGATTCTTCTCTAACGCCTGTGTCTGCCGCACGAGCTCCTCTGCCAGAATACGGTTTTGAGCTCGTTCGGAATTGATCTCCGTCTCGATCCTCGCACGCAACTCTTCAATTTCTCGATGGGCATTGGCCGCTACATCATCTTGCAACTGAAGCGCTGCCTTCTGCAATTTCTGCGAAATGGTACACTGTTCTTGCAGGAAATTGTATCACTCCTCCAGCTGCCGACACTTCTGGTCCAGGGTCTCCAACTCGGGTTTCGTCGCTACTTTGATCCGAGTCCGATTCCTGACCAGCTCAACATAGGATCCACGATGGCGGTGATCAGCGTACTTGCTTGCCTTGCGATCAAGGTACCGGAGTAGTGGTACCACTTGCTCACAGAGCACCCCGGTCGGGGTACCTCGCACCGACTCCACTTCCTCCTCCGCCGAAGGCGTGTTGTCTTCGGTCTCGAGAATCTTTGTCGCCACAGAAATCCTCGGCGATTCTCTTGAGCTGGGTCGCGCAGCTTTTTCTGCTGCGGCCTCCACACCATGTCCCGCCAATACTTCCAAAGGGGTGGGATAACTTGCTCCCGGTGGGCCTGATGCACCTGCTCGGACTACTACCGCCGAAGGCGTTTGTGCCTAGGCACACGTATTTTCCCCTCCCTGCCTTCGTCTGCTGCAACTTGCTCGGAAGGCAAGCACCTCTCCATCGCAAGCATTTTGGTCGTTGCCGCATGCCGTCCTCTGTGGCCCGAAGATCTACGTGCTTCCTCCGAAGGCACTCGTGCCTTCGGTGCAGGGAGATCAGCTGACCTCCCAAGAACTTCTGCACTCACATCGTCCTCCGAGGATGGTGAGTCTCTCGTAACTGCGGCTCGCCCTGTGTCAGCGCTGCTGTCCGCCGACAGAATTAGCTTGCGTGCCTTCTGCTTCGGTCGGGCGGGCTCGTTGTTTGCCCGACGCCTGACTGGAGCAGTGGGCACTTCCCGTTGGCTCAAGTCTGCCTCTCCATTCCACTTCCGCTTCCAAGGTGCTCGCGCTCCCCTCGGTTCGTCATCCGCTCTTGGTCGAGCTGGTGGTGTGTTGGCGGGCCCTTCGTCGGAGTCTGTGTCAAACTCGACATCCCTCACATACCTGCCCAGATTTGCTCGCGACAGCAAGGAAAATTGTACCCGCTCCGTTGCTGTCAGACACCCCATCGACCGATAAAAATTGATCAAGAAGGGGGAGCGGTGATTGATCGACCCTCCCTTTTCCTCTTGCGCGTGCTGTCGCGTGGCCTTCCACAAAATCCGAGCTCAATGAATCGGAGTTCTTGCCAACGCCAGCTGCACAAATCCCACCTGCCAAGATGTCATGTAGGTGGTCATGTGCGGCTGTAAAATCTGGAGGAGTGCCACCGCGACATTCCTCCGCTTGCGGTCTTTGTAGTCACGGGTCTTGTACCCGTTCTTGCTCGACTTGAAGTTCTTGAAAAGTGCGCCCAAGGAAATTTCTTCTTCCTTCGTGACATGCACACTCTCGCATTTGAACAGAAGATCGCCTTCTTCTCCCGAGCATCGCCCCAAGACCTGCTCCCAATCGCTCACTTGCCATCTCTCCGGGTGCGGGCGATAACCTCGCGGAGGCTGGTTCTTCTCACGCAGCCACTGCCGGACCATCGCCGGGCACACACAATTCCATCCTCACAGAATGAAGTCGAGCTTCACCGCCATCAGCTCATCTTGAAATGCTCACAATTCGACCTGCGGCACTCGTAGGGAAACCTTCCGTAGCGGAATTGACTTAGCCATTAAATTCTTGGAAATCTCTGCAAGCTCCTGCTATTGCTGCTGCAAACTCTCTCTGCAAACTCTCCGCAATTCTCCGCAACTCTCCTGCAAGACTCTGCTGCACGTCGCGAACTCGAGCGAGTGCAAAATTGAAAATGCGTGAGTGAGTCTCTTCCTTCGGCGATCAAGATTTGTCATCGTTCGACACTTGGGCTGGCAGCGGCCCGCTTGAATGCTATGCCGGCGCGGAGGCGTAACGGTCTGATTCACACGCGCGAATTCACGCTCCTCCGTTGCGCGGACTCCCACACTTGTACATTCAATCTTGATCCCACCGATTTCCGCTGACGCAGCTCTCCGTCTGAGTACCGCCGAAGGTGCTCGCGGCGAAGGTACAGACTTCCGCCGTTTTCTTTGTCTTTTCTTCTTTCGCTGAAGACGCTTCCTGTAATAACCCACTAAAGGCTAAAACTGCAATATAGTGGTAGAAAGGTCGAACCCACAGGGACAGAGGAACACACAGGGTACAAAGTGTCACGTTTTAACAGACTATTGAGGAGTTTGAATTCTCAGGCGACTGTCACTCCCAGAAATACTGCAAGTGACCACTCGGAGCGCACTCGGAGGTCGCACAGTGCAGCGTAACACACACACACACACACCTGAAACTACAAAAATACAACCCAGAGATCCGTTAGGACCTCTACTTCAAGATTTCAGGGGGAAAGTCTCTCGCGAGCACACTCGGCAAAGCTGCGGGCAGTGACTTCCAACTCCGGCTTTTACAACACTTCCACTAGCTTGCTGCTAGTGTAGGAAACCCGGTTTGGACTGCCTACTTCGGATCGAAGTCACTCCTACGCGGTGAACAACACTCTCAACTCACAAAACGCGCAGAGAACACAGGTCCGCACTGAAGGACTCACTGTGAAACATTCCAGTAACACAACAACAGTCTATTGAAGAGTTTGAATTCTCAGGCACTTGTCATTCCCAGAAATACTACAGGAGTTACCCTCAAGGCACCTGCTGCAGCGTA